TACTCAATAATAAAGTAGTAAACTATTAATACATGTGCAAAACAGAAAAATCTAAAAAGTAAAAGAAAACTGCAGTTACAGACACCAGATAGGTTTTTGCAAACGGGGACAGGAAAAGGAGTATAAAAAAATTCAAAATGGGTAGGAGTTGTAACACCACATATTAAACAACTACATATGATGCCCACATCCCTTAATGGGGTGACTGGTTCAGTTCATGACTGACTGCTTCTGATCCCTGAGCCCTGGTAAGGTACCAGGAAGTTGCACATGATGGCTGAATTAATAGGGTCCTTGCCAGCTAAGGGGAGATGGGAGCCTGGGTAAAGTTGTCATATTTTGATATCACCTTGGTGTAGCCCTGGTGAATGAATTGGTAGATACAAACCCAGTCTCCCTCTCTCTCTCCCACTATAACTTTCTTTAAAATAGCAAATATTTTGAAAAATATGAGCAAATTATAGTTTATCAGCTAACTGCTTATATTTTTTCATAGTGGGACAGATATTGGAGTTACTTAAGTGTAAATATAGTGAGGATACTGAATGATAACATGTGAATAACTTAGACAAAGTCCTTTGGAATTTCATGCAGCATCATATTCCCACCAAATGTAATAAAGAACTCTGACTTAACAAGGAAGACAAAATCACTTTTGCAAGCTGCTTAGTTTGAAACACTGAAGTGAAACAAAGATGGCCTCAAAAAAGATCCAAGAATAAATACTTCTGCATTATCAATGTACTATAAGTAGATATCAAATGTAAGTTTAGCCCAGTGATTAAAATCTGGAAAACAGAAGAAGCAAAAACATGTTAAACAAAACAGTGTCTCACCGTGTGAGGCTGAGAATAAAGAGAAGCAAGAGAGCTTCTCGGTATTGTGAAAGTCGAAGAGGAAACATTTACAAAGGAATGAAATGTTCATAAGCTTTAAGAACTACATATAGGGGCCCAGCGCGGTGGCACAAGTGGTTAAGTCCTCGCCTTGCACGCCCGGGATCCCATATGGGCGCCGGTTCTATCCCGGCAGCCCCGCTTCCCTTCCAGCTCCCTGCCTGTGGCCTGGGAAAGCAGTCGAGGACGGCAGTCCAAAGCTTTGGGACCCTGCACCCGCGTGGGAGACCCGGAAGAGGCTCCTGGCTTCGGATCGGCATAGTATCGGCCGTTGCGGCTCCATCGGACGGAAGATCTTCCTCTCTGTATATCCGCCTTTCCAATAAAAAATAATAAAAATAAATCTTTAAAAAAAAAGAACTACATATAAACATAATGTAATATATATGATGAGGGCCAAAAGGATTTTTTGGGAGTTCCATATAGGAAGGGTCCAGGGGCTAGCAAGACTGGAGTTCACAGAGTGGATATAGAAATGAGGTAAGGCCCAGCTATTCAGGTCCTAGCTCCCATCAGAACCTGTCTTATGTGAATTATTCTCTGCTTGTGTATGAGAGCACTGTCCCTGAAGGTTCAAATACAATCTTCCAGGGGATCCTGCTTTATCTTTCAGCCAGTAGAACCAGGGTCACAAGTGTGCATTTTCCCCTTAATACATTGATTTTAAACAAATTGAGAATGCTTACTAGTTTTTCATTGGATTAAGACAGAGAAGAATAACCAACGGAAAAACAACCAGCTGATAACTCATAATTGAGTATAAAATCCTACTGTGATTATTTGATAAAATGTCCACAGTCATCAGCTTTGAAATTTTATATTAATAACTTATCTCCTTATTCAATAAGAAATGGGGTAAGAAATAAAAGTAAGTGTTAGTATTTTCTAGCAGACCCTACTTCATCAGTATCCCACATAAAGGGTGGAATAAGATCCTTCCTTTAAGTTAGTAGAGATACGCTATCCTGAATCTGTCTTTCTGCCAATAGTTAACTCTTGGGTCAGCAAGTTTCAACTCCATTGTGTGGCTGTTCTTTAATCAGTTTTTCCTAGAAATGATTGCTCAAAATGAACATATTCATTCAGGAATAAGTGAGTTATGGGCTTGCTTGCGATGGAGAAGCAGAATCCCATTCTCCCACAGGCACCATCAAAATACTCATTAGGTCTGTAGAAAGCTACTGTTTTCATGTTTCAGTCAACAGCCCCATAGGAAAACTTCACTGCTGATCAGAGTAAAAAAGAAAATGCCTGAAAAATGTTTTTAAAGTTGTATGAATCTTTTTTTTTTTAAAGATTTATTTTTATTATTTTTTCATTGGAGAGGCAGATATACAGAGAGGAGAGACAGAGAGGAAGATCTTCCGTCCGATGATTCACTCCCCAAGTGAGCCGCAACGGGCCGATACTATGCCGATCCGAAGCCAGGAGCCTCTTCCGGGTCTCCCACGCGGGTGCAGGTTCCCAAAGCTTTGGGCCGTCCTCTGCTGCTTTCCCAGGCCACAGGCAGGGAGCTGGAAGGGAAGCGGGGCTGCCGGGATTAGAACCGGCGCCCATATGGGATCCCGGGCGGCAAGGTGAGGACCTTTAACCACTTGCGCCACCGCGCCGGGCCCATGTTGTATGAATCTTTATTATTTTAACCATCAGTTGAATCAAGGAGATGGGAACGTAGGAAAGTATCTGTGTATGTGAAAATTACTAAATAAGTGTATGATGGTGTGTGAAAATAATTAGATTGCTAAAACTTACCTTGCTAAGTTTTTCTGATAGTAAAATTACTCATTTTGGTGCATTGTTTCTTATTGCAAAAACCTAAACTTTTGAAATATTAATAGCTTTGGATATCTTATTCAGGTCATTTTTGTAACTTATTGGAAAGGTAGAACAATAGAGTACAATGGTACTTTAGAATTTCTAAAAAATACCTCCATTTTTCATAGAATACCAATTCTAAAAGATAATGAGTAGGGAAAAATAATAATTTTCCATGGTCAAATAAATTCAGGATATACTTCCTGTTCCATAGGCCTCTCATGGAGCATTTCATCACATATTAGCATGTTCAAAATCTTATACAGCCATAAAATTAAGATATGTATGTCCCATTTTAGATTCCTTCCCACGGGTAGCAGCTGAAGTAGTAATTAAACCCCTAATTGGAATGCCAATAACTATATATGAATGCCTTTTCAATCCTGTCTACCTTGCTTCTAAGCAGGTTTCTTGCTCATATGCACGTGTAGCAGGAAGCACATGATGCTTCAAGTTTTCCAGTTCTTTGTGACCCATATGAGCGAACAGGCTGAGTTCTGAGTCCTGCTTTCTGCCTGGCCTAATCTTGGCATTTACACCCATTTTGAGAGCAAAGTAATAGATGAAAGATCTCTCTCTCTCTGAACCAGTGCGGTAGCCTAGTGGCTAAAGTCTTCACCTTGCATGTGCCAGGATCCCATATGGGTGCCAGGTTGTGTCCCAGCAGCACCATTTCCCATCCAGATCCCTGCTTCTGGCCTGGGAAAGCAGAATGGCCCAAAGCCTTGGGACCCTGTACCTGCATGGGATACTCAAAAGAGGGTCTTGGCTCCTAGTTTTGGATCAGCTCAGCTCCAGCCTTTTGCAGTCACTTGAGTGAATCCTCAGACAGAAGATCTTCTTCTCTGTGTCTCCTCCTCTCTGTACATCTGACTCGCCAATAAAAATAAATAAATCTTTAAAAAAGAAAAAAAGAGATTCTCATTCTGTATCTCCCTCTGTTACTCTTTCAAATGAAATAAATCTTTTAAAAAGATTTGACTATGTAAGAGATGCTACTTCTGGATATATAGTCAAAGGAAATTAAAATAGCTTATCAAAGAGATGGGATACACTCTCATATTCATTGACTATTCATAATAGTCAAGATACAGAATCACCTAAGTACCCATCAATGGATTTAAAAATGATCAGACACACTAAACCAAATGGAATCCTGACATTTGCAGAAAAATAATATAGTGGCACCTACTGCTATATAAGCAGAGTAAAACCAATGCAGAAAGGAACAGTGCAAATAGTTTCATATGTGGAATTAAAAATAATGTATCTGAACTTAGAATAGTGAATTCTAGAGGCTGGGAAGGGTGGAAATAGAGAAGAAAATAATGAAGTAATGAGTTCTGGTGTGGTACAGCACAGTGGGATATCTATATTTCATAATAACCCATTATATAAAGAGAATTGGGAGAAACTGATAGAATCCAAACACAAACTAAGAAATAGAAGTTACCTCATCCACTTACGCTCTAGATAAATGTCAAAATATTGCATTGTATGGCATAAATGTGTGAAGATTAGATATTAGAGATTCTTAAATCTGGCAATTTAAAGTAAGAAAATTAGTGAATGGAAGAGCTTCCAACTACTTCGCAAACAATGCATTTTAAACAGAGAAGCACCTTTCTTCTATTTCCAAGTCTGAATTCTTTAGCCTCATCATAATCATAACTACTTTGAAAGACACGAGAGAAAGTCAGCGACACCTAAGAACAGCTCTTCTTTCACAATCGTTGCCACCAGACAAAAATGTTACTTACAGTAGCAGAGAATCCCACCCCATTTGGCAGAACCAAGCATTGCTGTCCTCCACTTCCATATACATCCTTAATATGAAAGGAAATAATACATTTTTCAGGGGAATCTGAACCCCAGACTATACATACTTGTACATACTGAAATTTACAAGAAGAGCCATGGATGGGCATATTTACAATTAGTTTTTTCATTGTTCATTATACATATATATATCAGCATTCAATTAAAATCGTTTCATTATATCTGCATCACAGAAAAGTGTATTAGTTTATTCTTTGATAGCCTTATAAATTGTTAATTTTATTTTTTCTTTCTTTGGTAGTAGAGTTATCTTCATGGTCATTTATGTGTAGTTAACTATTGCATTTTGTTGATGTGGTTGTTTCTGTAGTAATTAAATGTCTAAATAGAGTACAAGTGCTCAAGAGGGTTGATGCTAATTTTAAAATTAAGTTGAATTTATCTTCGAGTAAGTGGTAATACAACATGGTTGATATTTGCCCAATGAAAAGTATTCTCTCTCCTTTTCAGCCAACATATCAATTTTAGATATAGACACTAACCAGGAGGAAAATTTATCAACTGTATCTCCCGGAAACAATTTTGGTCTTGACTTGAAAGCAGATGATAAAATATATTTTGGTGGCCTGCCGACCCTGAGAAACCTGAGGTAATTTAGTACACACTTAAAGCTAAGGATTAAGTTTCAATTAAATGGTCGCTGTGCTCACTGGAGTTTTGAAGTTCAATTACAATGGGAATGTCATATAACCTTTACTTACAGAAAGGTCTAATCAAAAAAAAAAGCCATGTTGTGCATTAGAACAGCATCAGAGTTTAGAAACTAAAGGATTAATTTGACATCTTTGTTGAAAAGATCGATTGGAATCACTGTTTCCCTTACAGGTACCTGCTGAATAGAATTATGAAAGCAATTAAAGGTGGAAGCCTGAGTTGGATGTAGATCTTATAATTGCTGTTCTCTTTGCATATTCACTGGAAATAATAGTGCTCAGACATTGCTTAGTGTTCTGAAAATTAGTCAGTGTTCCAGGATACTGTGCATGTAACCTATTTTATTGCTAAGCATTAGCAGAATAATGGCATATTGGAACTGTCCCATATGCCTAATATTAGAAATGCATTAGCTGGTCTCAAGCCCAGGCCAGCACAGATGCTTTCTATCTAGAAAAATGGAGAAACGTACTTATCTCATGGTTAAGAAAATAAAGTAACAAAAAATGTCAGAATATTTCATGTAGTGTCTAATTGTACTGCTTGATATAAAACAACAAACCCAGAGTACTTAGTGTTCAGTAATGTTTACTTGAAGTTAATTAAAATGAAGAAAACTCATTTGGCTAAACATACATGTTTATTGTAAACACAGACTATTTTGACTTTAATTTGTGCTTTAATTACTTTGGTTATTGTTAATGAGTATAAAGTCTTCATATAGGTATTTCTACCCTAAAAAATAGAATGTGTTTGGGAAAGTCTCAGAATGATATAGTTGAAAGTTCAGTAATCAATTATTTCCATATTTCTCAAGTAAGCAGTATAAGGTTAGTTTCATCTTTTAGCAATTACTATGAAATTTGAGGTTTTATTTTTCTCCCTGAACATAAACGGATTAGAAGAGCAGGAAGTTGTCTTCCAAACTTTCCTTGGTATAACCTGGTGAGTTTTCGGTTATAAATTAACTCGGTGCCCATTCAGCTACAGTGTTTGAGTTAGGAATATACATTTAATAGTGACATGGTTACTGGAAATCTATTTATTACATCATTGTTCAGCAAGAGTTTATTGAACTTCTACCATGTACCGGGCATTATGCTAAGTACTAGGTATCTAGCAGTTGCTCAAGAATAAGATTTACCTTGCTAGTCCATTAAAGAATTAGCCAAAACAAAACTATCCAAACCTGCCTTCATGTATTATGCTAGAACTAGTTATCATAAAAAGACTTTTAGGAATTATCTACAAAGGGAAACAGGTTAATCTCGTTGTGATAGGCTTACTATTTTATTTGGTTTGGAGACCACATAACTAATGAATATTTGTCACGAAGATGTTATTTTCAGACTATAGGAGTCAAAATTACATTATAGCTATAGCATTGCATATTATTTCAGAACACTCAGTAGACACCTGTTTGTGGCTTATTAAAAAAGCAAGCATCCAGAGTTACTGGTCATATTTCCATACTTAGAATTTTATTGTTTTTAAAAATATTGTTCAGCTGAAGTTCTTTGAGAAGCAATACGTGAGCTATTCACAAGTAATGCAGAAAAGTATCACTTGTACATTTTGCCAATCATTAATTTGATATACTTTAAATTCATATTTCAAAATAAAATTTTTTCTAAGGAAATAGTGTGGAAAAAAGTCAAGTTTGGGTTCTAATTTCACTACAGTGAGAACAGAGGCTGTCTTCTGTTCTCATTGCTTTTTGCATTTCTCTCCATAAGAATTGCTTTGAGATAGTTTTACAAAAAGATTCATGGTTAAAGTTTATTATTGTTTGACATTCAATGAAAATGCAATTATAAATAAATTGATTTTGTTTTGTTTTTCTCCTCCCTTTTACCTAGTATGAAAGCAAGGTAACATTTTTTTTAAATGTATGCATGCCTTTCAACTGCCTGGCACTTAGATACAGAAGCTACGCAGAAATAGAGCGATGCCTGTGCAGCTTTATTCAAAATGTATTTCAAGAGCAAGTAATGCATTCTAAGAACATTCTCATGCTGCTCTTCATAGAAAAGATCCTGTTGCTTATCTGCCAAAAACTGGGCTGCAATTTGAGTTACTTCACCAGCAAAAATGGTAGACTTGCTCTGCTCACTCGTTCAGCCACCTATGCATAGTGCCCTCTGATGTTCAGCAGCACTTGCTTAACAGCAAACTGGTCAAGTTCATGAGCACAGCCGGGTTCTAGGAAATGGACAGAAGAGGTCTCTTGGTTTGAACCCAACTCTGGTTGCCCTGGGACCATGCTGTCTGCTGAACCGTTCACCTATGCTTTCCAAATGCTTGCTTCTGCCTTGCTGCTGTTGTGCAGGCGTGCGAATATGCGAGCATTTTCATACCCTTTGCACCTGTTCTCAAAACTGCTTATTTATTGCCCTTAATACTAGGAATCTGCTTTGAAGCCTGCTGAAAGGAATCTAAGAAATGCCTTATGTACAACAAGTATTTGTGTTAAAAATAATGAAGTTTACAGAAAGTCCCCCCAGATTCTCAGAAGCATTTAAATTCTTATTTATAGTTAGGCATTAGTGTAAGAATTAAGCCTACCCTGTGAAGGGCTAATCAAAACTGCAGAAATGTAGAGGATTGGCACACTCTGGTCAGAGCTAAAGCTTGGCATCTTGGCATTTCAGAGTCAGTGTGCCAAATTTCTGGAAAGGAGATAATGAAGCTTCAGCGATCCAAGACATTTTTGAAGTAGAGGCTAGGCTTTTAATACCAGAAAATAGAATACAGAAAAAATGAATGTTGGTAAAAATAAGTCAAGTTGTTCTATCATGATGCAGTTTTGAGAACACTTGCAATGTTTACTGAGATGATGATTATAAGACAAAACTGGCTTTCAATGGAAAATATATCCATCAACGTTGCGATATCACAGGATGACTTTGGAATGTTGCCTTTGAATGAAGACCCTCATGAAACTGAGGTCTCTGGTTACCATTAGGAGTCCAATTCCCATATATCATTCATTCCCTGATTTTCATAATATTGAACTTGCCTTATCTTTTGAAACAGTCCTGTGGATTTCCCTGAGGCAATGAATGTATAAAAATGAATTGCCTTATCTATAAATACCCTGGGAAAATATGATAAATTATGGAAGTGAACACAACAAATGAACTTCACCCATTCCCTTGACTTTATAGAAGAATATAAGTAAGACCTTTTCCCTGAAGTTGTACATACTCTTCACCATAATCAACTGACTGAACAGAATGAGAGAACATTTGGAATAAAAGAAAAGTGGTCATATAAAAATAAACATGTTCCAATAGACGAGAGGGATGAGGGCAGAAGGCAGGACAAATAGCTGACCTGAAGCAAGGTATCTGGTACCCATTACCAGGGTCTAATTTGCTTTCCCACCAGTTTTTATCATGCACTGGTTTTTGTTTATTTTAATTTTCAGTTATGTGAAAGGCCATGAGGTTTTTATTAGCTGAACAAGAGAAAAATGGAAACATCATGGAATAATGAGAAGTATTACCTTATCAAACACAACAGTTTGATGTTGAGTAGATAGATTTTACACATGAATATTTACACCAGTTCACTTTTCAATGTTCAAAATGATAGCCAGCCACTAACCACAGTGGCTTTTTACCTTTAAATGTGTAGTTGTTAATATTCAATTCCTTATTGACATAATCGACATGCTAGGTCTACATAAGCACACATAGTGCAGAGCAGAACATACTATCATCTCAAAGTTCCATTGGAAAGCTCAGTCATGAGGAAATAGAATTTACTGCCTACTAACTTATGTTTATTGGGCACTTATTGTGTACTTTGCCATTCATTCATTTTCCAAACTTCAAAACACTTTAATGTAGATAATATTTTCATCCCTTTTCACATAAAAGAATGCTGAGTGAGTCAGAACACTTGCATAATTGTTACATTATAAATCAGAACAATGTATTTCTGCCAGGACAGGGACTTCTGTTAGCAATTTGAAAACTAAGATCCTTTCTCTTCTGTATCATCTTTATCCTGTTTAAGAAAAAATAAGTGGGTCAGTATTATAGTACAATGAACTAAGCTGCTATCTATAAATGCCATCAACACAAATTGGAGTGCCCATTTGAGTCACGGCTGTTCTACTTCCAATCCAGCTTCTTGTTAATGCAACTAGCAAGGCAACAGGAGATGACTCAGGCCCTCTCCACTTTCATAGATGTGCACAGAATGCTGGGCTCTTGAATTCCTGCCTGGATTAGACCTGGTAATTGCAGAGTGATGTAGTACATGGAAGATACCTTTATTCCTCTACTACTCTCTCTATGCCTTAAAATTAATAAGTATTTGGAAAAAAGGAAATAGTGAACAAAACATAAGTGTGTTATAGCTACTGGTCAATATTGTTAGATTAAATATATTCTGAAGTTGACTGCTTCATTATTATTTCAATACAGAGCACAAATTGATAAATTACTACTTTTTTGGTTTAGTTTAACAGCAGAGAGACATACATATACATGCCATTTTCATATTCTGGCAGCACCAGCCCTAGCTGAGTCAGGAAACTCATTCCAGGTCTCCCAAAAGGATAGCAAGGATTCATGAGCCATTACTTGATGCTTCAAAAGATCTGCAGTACTAGGAATATGAAATTAGAAGCTAGGACTTAGACTCGAGCACTCTAATATAGCAATGCAAGCACCCCAATAAAAAATTTAGCAACTATACCAAATGCCTGCTCCAGGAATTTTACTGAAGGAAATATTTCCAGGGCCAACATCGGAACCTATGAAGCTAGCATCTCATATGGTCACCCATTCAAGTTCTTCTGCTCCTCTCTCAATCCAACTCCCTGCTGATGTGCCTGGGAAAGCAGTGAAGAATATGGGAGATCTAAAAGGAACTCCTGGTTCCCAGCTTTGGACTATTCCAGCTCTGGCCATTGGGACCATCCGGGAAGTGAACCAGCCAATGGTCTTTCCATCTCCCTGTCTTTCAAATCAATAAATGAATCTTTAATTTTTAAAAAATATTTCTCTCCAAATAAACATTTCCATATTTATTTTTGAGCCAGATTTTTTAAACATTTTTTTAGATACTTTGTGCTGCTTAAACAGTTACCTACTCCTGAATGAGAAAAAAAAATTTCTTATGTACATAAAATATTAATAAGGAATCAGTTAATTCCTATACCTTATATCTGAATACTATAATGGGATTATTTTAAAGATTTTATCTGAAAAGCACATTTATAAAGTGAGAGACAAAGAAGGTGTTCTGTCCACTGGTTCACTCCCCAAGTGACCAGAACTTGAGCTGATCTGAGCAGGAACCAGTAGTTTCTTCCATGTCTCCCACACAGGTGCAGAGTCCCAAGGAACTGGACCAAACTCTACTGCTTTTCCAAGCCACAAGCAGGGAGCTGGATCAGAAATGGCTCAGCCAAGATACCAACTGGTGCTGGGATGCTGGCACCACAGGATAAAGGATTGGGCTATTGAGCCATAGCAGCAGCCCCTATGAGGGAACTTTTTTTTTTAAGATTTATTCATTTTTGAAAAGTCAGATACACAGAGAGGAAGAGAGACAGAGATCTTCCATCCGCTGATTCACTGCTTAAGTGACCTCAACGACCAGTGCAAGCCGAGCTGAGGTCAGCAGCAAGGAGCTTCTTCCAGGTCTCCCATGTGGATGCAGGACCCCAAGGCCTTGGGCTGTCCTCTAATGTTTTCCCAGGCCACAAGTAGGGAACTGGATGGGAAGCTGGGAAGCAGGGCTACCGGATTTAGAATTGGTGCCCATATGGGATCCTGGCATGCACAAGGAAAGGACTTGCACCGCTAGGTTACCGCGCCAGGCCAAGGAGATTATTTTTTTTTTTTTTATTGTTGCTTACATTGTATTATGTAGTACAGTTTTATAGGCGCTGGGGATTCCCCCCACCCCTCCCATACAAGGAGATTATTTTTAAAGAGAAAAAGTAACACATGCAGATTTTTTCCGCACGATGGTGTTAACATGTAATTCCTACATCCAGTAGGTAACAGAAAGTGTAGTTTGCTGACTACCTGGGTGCTGTGCATAGAGTTTGATAGTTTCCCACATAGTTTCCTGCCAATAGAGATTGAACTGCCATCAGCTCAATGATGTCACTTTTGTTTTCCACTTAACTCTCCAATAGGCCAGAAGTGAATTTGAAAAAATATTCTGGTTGCCTCAGAGATATAGAAATTTCAAGAACTCCATACAATATACTCAGCAGCCCTGATTATGTTGGTGTTACCAAAGGATGTTCACTGGAGGTGAGTCTGTTTTTAATGGCTCCATAACATGTTCATATCATTTTGTTCAGTTTGTGTGTTTTCACTCCTTTATTACTGTAGTTTTATATTTCAACTAACCTGGGCTTAGTTGATAAATGAATGATAAAACTGAAGCATTCTATCTAGTTTTCAAAAAATGCATGAAAAAATGAGCATGAAAAATTATGAATGTATTACAAAAATGTCCATGAACTTATTGAAATGTAGAAATTATTGTGCTATAAATGATATTACAATAATAGAATATTATAGTCCATTCTTTCAAATGTATGATCATGTATGTTATGTACAATATTAATATCTTTTCTAATTCTTTCCTCCTAACACTACATGATCTTTAGTCATGTTTGATAACTCTCTTGAACTTATTCATTGTATATGTATTTAGGTGACTTTATTGGCACCTTAACTTTTTTCTAGAATGTGTTTACACAAATAAGGAGTATTGATTTGTAGAATAACCATTTAGTGCATGCCATCTGATCAACACCATTGAAATTGAGCCTTCTCGCTCTTTGAGATAGCAAAGACTTGGATCTGTTTCATCCAATGCTACAAAAACTCTAGTCTTCTACAGAATTGCAAAGTCACTTGTTGGAAGATATCCTCAGTCACTATTCTTCTTGGCGACGCAGCTTAACACCTCTCAATTATTGTTAATTGTTCAGCACTGGCTTCAATTAGTGCTGATCCATATGTAAGAAAGGCCCTTGGCCATAGCTTCTCCCTTGTAAAAATCAATAGTCAACAACAAATGGTAGTAGAGATTTTATAAGTGGGTTGCAAGATGGCTGAATAGGGTTAAAGACATGTTCATTTAGGCTGGGAGGGGCTAACAAGAGATTAGCAGACAAAGTATGATCCCAGGCAATGTGTGCAGAGGACTGGGTGGCAGGGAAACTGCAGAAGACATGAAGACGTGATGGTGCAACAGTTGAAACAGTCACTGCCAGTGAGCGGAAGGAATCGCAGAACTAGAATTCTTGGGGTAGATCTCAGACAAAAAAAAAGAGTTAATGAGGATAAGCATTAAGTAAAACCAAAAACAGCATCCAGGAATTATGTGCTATCATCAAACAACCAAACATTAGTGTCTTCAGCTCTCCTGAAGATATGGATAAGAGGACCTACTGGTGAAATAGTAACTGAAAACTTCCCTAACTGGAGAAAATAAGAATATCCAAGAAGAGCACGCACAGAGAACTCCAAACAGATGACCAGAAACAACTCTCACCATGACACATTAGGGTGAAACTTTCAATAAATATGAAGAAAAGATTCTCAAACGTGAATGTGAGAAATGGTGATAATTTCAGAGAATCTCAAATAAGGTTTACTGCAGATTTCTCATCAGAAACCCTGTGGGGTAGGAGAGAAAGAGAAACAGAATCTATATTCTGAAAGAAACTGCCAACCCAGAATATTATACCCAGTAAAGGTTTCAATTTTAATAAAGGAAAAATAAAGGACTTCCAAAACAAATATTGAAAGAATTTGCCACCCACCAACCAGCCCTACAATACTATGCTTATGGATATGACATACACAGAAATAGTGTGTGATAAGCACAATAATCAAAAAAAAAAAAAAGGTGGAGAACTTCCTAGTAAAGCTACATAGAAAATCTAAAGCAAATAACAAGGAAATCTATGTTAAAATGACAGGACAAAGTTATTGCCTTTCAGTAACCCTATGCTCAAATGGTCTAGATTCTCCAGTCAGAATACATAGATTGGCAGTGTGGACCAGAAACTCAAGACCCATCTATCTGCTGCCTATGAGAAACACACCTCCCCAACAAACATACACACAGCATGAAAGTGGAAAGATGGAAAATGTATCTCATTTTAAAAGAAAGGAAAAAAGGATTGTGTGTAGTCATTCCAATATCTGACAAAATAGACTTTAACACAAAACCAATAAAGATGAACAAGAGCTTTATATATTGATTGATGGATCGATGCAATAAGAAGGGGTGACCATATTAAATGTATATGCACCAATGCCAGGTCCAAAAACAATTGTTACCAGGTGTAAAGGAAATCAAGGACTACAATACAATAACAGGATGTGTCTCAATACTCTACTATGATCAATGGAGCCATCAGACAAACAAAAGATCAACAAACATGCAGCAGAGTTGGCCTATACCATCAATCAAATGGCCCTAACATATCCACAGATGCAGAATGCATATTGTTTTCCATCAGTTCATGGCAACTCCTCCAGCATAGACTAGAAGACGGCCAATAAAACAGCCTGATAAAGTCAAAAGAATTGAAAGTATAACATTTCTGACCACCAAGGAATGAAGTTGGTAATAAATAATTCAATCCCCAGCGCCTATGGAGCTGTACTACATAATACAATGTAAGCAACAATAATAATAAAAAAAAAAAAGTCAAAAAAAAAAAAAAAGAAACTCTAGAAAATATACAAATGCATGTGGAGTGAACAAAATGCTGTGGAATGAATAGTAGGTCAAAGAAATTAAATGGGAAAAAATATTCCTATAAATTAATGAACATGACAACACAATACATCAAAACATGGGATATGGCAAAAAACTGTGCTAAGAATGAAGTTCATAGCAATTAGTGCCTCTATCAAGAAATTAGAACGACATCAAATAAACAATCTACCAATGACACTTAAAGATCAAGATAAACAAGAACAAAACAAACCCAAAATTGGTAGAATTAAAATTACAGAATAAAAAGTGGAATCAAAAAGGTTCATAATATTAACCAAAAGCATAGATATTAAAAAGAAATAGTTGGGCCAAGGGTATAAAAATTAGCAAAAGAGGGTGAAGACCCCCAAAGTCAGAAGTAAAACCAAAAATGGAAATAGTGAATGCTACAGATATGCAAAGAATCATCAAGAATTACTATAAACAGCTATATGGAATAAATTGAAAAATTAAGAAGAAATGTAGATTTCTGGACACACATAATCCACCAAAACTGAGTTGTGAAGCCATCCAAAAGCTACATTGCACAATACCTACGATAGTAATGCAGACTCATCCAACACAGAAAAGTCCAGGATCAGAATATTTCACTGCTAAATTATACCAAACCATTCAAGAACTAATTCTAAGTTTTCACAATCTATTCAAAGCAATAGGAAGGGAGGCAGCTCTTCCACACTCCTTGTATGAGTCCAACATCACCTTAATTTTCAAGCCAGAAAGGGATATATGAAAGAGAGCTATGGACTAATATCCCTGATGAAGATAAATGCAAAAATCTACAATAAGATTCTAGCTCATCAAGTCCAACAAGACATCAGAAAAATCATTCACCCAGTCGAAGTGGGATTTACCTCTGTTGTGCAGGAATAGATCAACATTATGCAATCCTATAAATGTGATATGGTTGTTATTCTTTGGTTTGTTAATGTGGTATAAGGTTATCTCAATAGATGAGAAAAAGCATAGGATTAAAAATACAGTGTCATTTCAAGTTAAAAACCTTAAGTAAATTAGTGATAGTAGGATAATTCCTCAGCACAATCAAGGCAGTTTTCAAAACCCCAATGCCAGCATCGTATTGTGTCCAGAAAAGTTGGGAGATTCGAAACAACAAAAAAAAAAGATGCTCAATCTTAGTATGCATTTCAATGTAGTATTGGAAACTTTAGTGCCATTATAAAAAGAAATCAAAGGGATACACTTTGGAAAGGGGGAAGTCAAGCTCTCCCTGTTTGCAGATGACATGTTTACAAAGGGAAAACCCAAAGACTCTACAAAAACTTGCTGAAACTCGGAAGAGTTGAGAACATTGCAGAATTTAAAACTGACACAAACAGTAAGTAGCCTTTGTATGCACAAACAGTTCCATGCATGACTGAGAATTTGTGAGATCAGTGCAACTCACACCAACAGCAAAATGTTAAATACCTTGGAAAAAATTAATCAAGGACAAGAGGGAATCTCTGTGATGACAAGTACAAAACGCTAAATAAAGAAATAGAAGCTACCAAGAAATGTCCTGTGCTGATAGAGCACCTGCCCGTGTATGGTGGGGACTGACTATGGAGAGCCTACAGTTTTGCCTGCCTGCCATAGAAGCCCTGGAGATAATGGTTCACAGATCTGAGTCTATAGCAGGGTCAGTTAGGAAAAAACGACTATGACTCACTAAACATAACTAGTAGTGACGGCTGCTGACATCTTTGATGCAATGAATAACAAAAAATAACACTCAGATCTTCATAATGTTGTATTGAAAATAACCAAATAAAACCTGTATGTGGGAATGACTCACTCACACGCCTGAAAGAGAAAGAGAGAAACAGAGAGAAATAGAAAGAGAGAGAAAGAGAGAGAGACAGAGAGAGAGAGAGAGAGAGAAAGAAAGAAAGAAAGAAAGAAAGAAAGAAAGAAAGAAAGAAAGAAAGAAAGAAAGAAAGAAAGAAAGAGAAAGAAAGAAAGGAAGGAAGGGGGAGAAGAAGGAAGAAAGAGAAAGGAAGGAAGGAAGGGAGGGAGCGAGGGAGGGAAAGAGAGAAAGAGAGAAGAAGAAAAAAAATGAAAACGCAAAAGGCATGCACATCAGTGGGACAAAATAGAAATCCCAGAAATGAGCCCATACATCTGCAGCCAACTAATATTTGAGAAGCACACGGAAATCAACCCAGAGAAAAAGTATCTATCCACATGTAAAGATGTATTCAACAGGATCCCTGCTTCACACTTTATTAAAAAAAAAAATCAACTCTTAAATGGATCAAGCACCAACTCTTTTATCAGACACCATGAAATTATAGAAGAAATCATCAGGAACACTATGCAAATCATAGCTGTAGGCAGACTTCTTACAAAAGATGCCCAAAGCACAGGCCATTGAAGCAAAAAATAAACAATTTAAATTGCATCAAGCTAAAATGCTTTTGCACTACAAAGAAAACCATTAATAAAGTGAAGACACACCCAAAAGAAAGGGCAACACAGATAGAAGTCGAATATCCAGGACTGACAACCTCAGAAACTGGACAACAACAAAATAAACAGTCCAATTAAGAAATGGATACAGCATCTTTCAAAACATGAAATTCAAATGGATAATAAGCGTATAAAAAATGTCTAAATTTTTTAGATATCAGGGAAATGTAAATAAGACCACTGTGAGTTCTACCTAAACCTCATGAGAATGGCTAATATACAGAATTTTTTTAAAACTTTAAAAAAAAACATGCTGACAGGAATGCAGGAGAAAAGATACTCAAATCCAGTGTTGGCGGGAATGTAAATTAGTGCAACCACTATGGAAGACAGTATGCTGATTCCTCAAATATCTGAAAATAGATGTACCCTAGACCCAACCCTCCCACTTCTGGGAATACATACAATGAAGTGAAACCTGCATATAACAAAGTTACCTATAATCCCATGATTATGCCCAATAGTTACTAGATGAAAACAACCCAGATGTTCATCAACTGATGATTGTATAAAGACAGTGTGGTAAATATACACTCTGAAATACTACTCAGCCATAAAAGGAATGAAATCTTATTGTTTGTAACAAAATCAACCCAGCTGGAAACCAGTCTGCTTAGTGAAATAAGCCAGTCCCAAAAAGACAAATATCTGTTCCCTGATTTGTGACAACTAATGCACAGAGCACAAACATCTTAATCTCTGTGAGATTAGAATATTTATAGTTAACTGCTGTATGCAACATACATGTATACTCATGAACAATAAGATTTATTTTATTTTTAAGTCATTTTACCTTTTCCCTTTTTTTGCTATGTTAAGATACCATCATATATTGCAAACTTAAGCTTGTTACTATGAAGCTTATGAATTTCTTGTTGTGATCATTTAGGGGAAAAATAAGGCAGTTAATAGAAGAAAGAGGGAGAAAAAAAGGAGAAGGAGTAACTTCTATACTTCTAAATCTGTATCATAAAAACTGTGAAATCTAAACCTTACATACATTTTTAAACTAATAATGATATATTTAAACTTTATGAGAACTCAATCAGCATGCATTTTTTAAAATAAGAAAATGCTCACTATGAATAAAACCTACATTTTTTATTACGTTACTATAATACAATAATACATTTTGGCTGCTTCTTCCCATTAAAGTTATTTCCTGATAGAATTTAGGAAGAGGAAGGGAAACAAGGGGAAAAAACATGAACTTGCCTTCTTAGTAATGAGTTATAAAGAACAGGAATTTCAGTTTTCACTGCTCATAATCATAGACTCCAGCTTAGAATTCACCAAAGACAAGGAAAAATGAAATGCATTACAAAAATAAAACTACAGATCTATACTGGTTTCTTAAAGAAAATTTTAGTGACAATTCTAACCTTCAAAGCTTAACTTTCATCTGCTTTCAAAAGATACATGCATAAATACAGAGTGCTGTCCACACAGTGAATTGTTTGTATGCATGAAAATGGCAATTCTGCAAACGTACTTTCTAATAACCAGAAATTATTCTACAAATAAAGTATGATGCAGAAATTTGACATGGATAAATATTGAAAAGTCTGCCCACCCAGTAGTTTTATCTAGATGATCTAATACTCCCCAATTTGAAAATTGGAATAAAAAACAGATTATACATCTTACAAGCTCTTGTGCAGTTCAACCGGCCTTGAAATACTGTGGTGCAGGCTAGAAATACTCCGTATAAAGGGTTCCTTGTAAGATTTTAAAGATAAATATCTTAAGCATTTCAAATACCTGTGTGGCCTGGCCTAGCATGTTCACACTCTAGAATGTCTTCCAGACGTTTAAAATGATGATCATTTATGCTTACTGAGAGAGATACTTCACATTGTAAATGAACATGTCTAACATAGTTCAACTCAAATGCAGGAAAGAAGAAAGAGTGTAAAACTGAGATAGATTCAGTTACCGAGTGAGTCGGTGAACTCTTAAAAGCTGCATCATCGTTTTGGGATATGGGAATTTTCTCCCTTTTGTACTTTGTCTAAATGTAACTTTGATTATTATTGTCAACAAATAGCATTTTCATTTCTATGAAAAATAATTCATCTTTAAGGCCTAGGCTGCAGTTGATTTTCCATTTGTTTTGGAGAATATCCATTTAAGAACGCTGAGCATATTTAGTCTGTGCTTATCACGAGGAAGAATGCATGCGTAGACCATGGTCACATTCATCTGTAAAGGACTGACAGAGTATTTTCAAGGGCTGAAATGCAGTGTTCTCAGCGAGACTCAGGAAGGCAGCCTGAAACCTAAAAGAACGTTACCTGCAATAATCTATATTTTCAAACAGAAGTTCTGCCATCAAAAGCAGAGGCCATCATTTTTGCTTTATCCCAAACTACTAATTGAAGTATTCGAAGTTATAACGGAAAAGAATATTTCTTCAACTGCTGTTGAGTTTTCTATGAAGCTGGTTATTCACACTTTATTAGGTCGCTTTGTGTTCCATAAAAGAGATTGGATGGAATGAACAAGGTGGGGAAATGAATGTAAATTTCCAGTTCTAGTTTTCATTTTTTCTTTTCTCTGGTCCACAGAATGTCCACACAGTTAGTTTCTCCAAGCCTGGGTTTGTGGAACTCTCCCCCGTGCCAATTGATGTAGGGACAGAAATCAATCTGTCTTTCAGTACCAAGAACGAGTCTGGAATCATCCTCCTGGGAAGTGGAGGCGCACCAGCACCCAGGAGAAAGAGAAGGCAGACTGGACAGGTACTCTCAGCAGTTCACCCTATGTTTTCTCTAATGCTTTCATCAAACTGCTTTTTTATTATTATTATTTTGAACCATTTCTTTCTCTTTTTTTCACCTTTTGTATCTATTCTTATCTTGGTTAACCAAGATGAGCATTCCATTTACCCAGGCTGGCCTCCTGCATTTCAGACATCTTCAGACAATGTCTGCTCTAAATTTTCTTTCTGTTCAATTTCAGGTGCCAAGTCACACCCGACTTCCTACCTGTGTTCATCAGGGCTGAGCATATGCATAGATACAAAAAATTTGAAATAATTACACATTAATCCTTTCTCTAATTTCTTATCAGATTCATCAACTTTTAACTAGAGTTCCTTATATTTGCATTTACAGTCCTTCTAATTTTTTTCCCAATTGCTGTGGGTAATATTGTGTAATATGTTGTATGCTAATTTGTTTTGAATGAATTTCTGAACACAAAAAAATATATAAAGAGAGGGGTAGAAGGTGACAGCTAGAACACAAGCAAAACCCTTGAATGACTGTAGCTTACAATATCCCCTCAAGAATGTTAAAATAAAGCCAAAGGAGCATCTGCTATATACCCAGATGTTTCAGTATTTATATCCCCTAGCCATTTGATTTCATCGAAGCCATTCTTCAGCATCCCAGGTACAAGAATCATGAATATTTACTCCCTCTGTTAACACACATCAGTCAATTAAAAACAAAAAACCAAAAACAGATTTGGGAGAGTAGATTTTGTGGCATGGTGAGTTAAGACACTGCTTAGCATACTTGCATCTCACATCAGGTTGCCTAGTATTAGGCCAGGCTGCTCTGCATCTGATCCAGCTACCTGTTCATGTATGTGGTAGGTGGTGAGTGACGACTCCAGTCCTTGAGTCCCGGCTCCCCATGTGGGAGACCTGCATGCGGTTCCTGAATTTCTTCTGATTAGCCCTGTTTGTTACAGTTATCTAGGGAATGGATCAGTGAATGGCAAATACTTCTTTCTGCCACTCTGCCATTCAAAGAAATAAATCTTTTAGGATATGTAAAAAATAATTTAAGATAGATAACATGTGTCACTTAATGCAGTGAGAGAAAATGCAGAAATTATCTAATTACCATGATAAGTAGAATGAATTGATTTATATATATATAATGTCCTTAAATATTAATGCAGATCTAAAAACTAAATCATGTGATTTTTTAGTATAAGAACCAATCTTAGCATTTAATGTTTATAATCAATAATATTGAATATGCACTTTATTTCCTTCCCTAAAAGTTAGATCCTAACACAAAAGAGTAATAGTTTGTAAAAAAATTTTATAAGCGTGAATAATTTAGGTCTGGCATGATAACCTAGCAGCTTAAACATGGTCTTCACTTTGTGTGCACCAGCATCTCATATGGATGCCAGTTTGTGTCCCAGCTGCTCCACTTCCTATGCAGATCCCTGCTTGTGGCCTGGGAAAACAGTACAGGGTGGCCCAAAGCCTTGGGACCCTGTACATGCATGGGAGACCTGAAAGAAGCTCCTGGCTCCTGGCTTCAGATTGGCTCAGCTCTGGCCATTGCAGACACTTAGGGAGTGAGTCAGTACAGAGAAGATCTTTCTGTCTCTCCTTCTCTGTGTAAATCGGCCCTTCTAATAAAAACAAATCTTAAAAACGAATAATTTGAGCAATGTCAAAGACACAAAAAGATTAAGAGTAGAACATCTAAAACTCATTTAGTAATTTCAGTATTTTGTAAAATATAGCAGCCATTCATGATTAAAACTGCCCAGTAAACAGAGAAAAGAGCTCTCTTAGTTAACTGCATGAAAACTGTAGGAAGTAGTTTAAAACATTTGTTGGGAAATCAAGCCCCACACAAGAATCAACATTATTACTGCATTCCAATGGAATAAAAAACAAAAAGTAAACATAATGTAAGAACATGCATATACATTTTAAAAAATGATAACAAAATAGGCATAAACCCAATATAGACTACATAATTTCACTAAAAAATATTAAAGGCTTAATATTTAAAGGATGCCAATTTTTTCTCAAATGATGCCATTTTTATTCGAAAAGCACTTCATCCTTTCATAAATCATGGGAAGATAGTTCTAAAATTAATATGCAAAGTTGAAAATCTGCAAAAACCTAAAGTAGAAGATAAAGGTGTGGAGTTGCTCCCGCATATCTGCACAATTGAGATTGTGGCATACTGGTGTTGAGTCAGGGAGAACTCTCCCAGCTGAACACACCCAAGCCTGAGAACAGCCTGCAGCAGGGTGACTCTGCACATCACTTGAAACACAATGCATCTTTCAGTGCATGATTTCAGGGCAACTGGTTAATTACATGGAAAATCAAAGCTGAATTTTTACTTTACACCCATATCACAAATAAATGAACTGAAATCTGGAAGTATGGAAGAAAAAAGCTATAACATCTTCAGAATATAGAAGGCTAACTTTGACCTATAGAGAAGCAGATGACTTGTTGAACAAAGCAAGATTATAAATACTAAAACTAAATGAACTTTAAAATCTTTGATTGAACATCAAGCAGGAGTTCCATTCTGGAAATGTACCATGCAAATAACCTACCAAAAAATTAGTATATAAAAGTAATGCTAACCCGGCCTAGCTTGATGGCCTAGTGACTAAATCCTTGTCTTGCATGCTTCAGAATTCCATACAGGTGTCCAGTGTGTGTCCCAGCTGCTCTAGCTTCCCATCCAATTCTCTGCTTGTGGCCTGGGAAAGCAGTCGAGGATGGCACAAAATCTTGGGACCCTGCACTTACATGGCAGACCCAGAAGCTCCTGGCTCCTGGCTTCAGATGGGCTCAGCTCTAGCTGTTGTAAGCACTTTGGGAGTGAACCAGTGGATGTCAGTTCTCTCTGTAACTCTCTGTATATATGATTTTCCAATAAAAATTAATAATTGAATTTTTTTAAGTAATTCTAAACAACCAGGGAGAGAAAAAAAGGCAACCATGAGTAAAGGATCAAAAAGGTATGTCACAGAAAGCTTGATTGACTCAAAAATATTTTATACATGTCCAGTGTCACCATCATGGGGGAGATGCAAATTGAAGCCACTCTGTATACCCAATAGAATGGCAAAATAATAGCAATAATAACATATATAATATGCTAATACCAAGTACTCAAATGATCTGGAGACTAGGGAAATCCTAATTATTGCTGGTAAAAAGAAAAAAATGTAAATTCCTGGGCCCAGCACAGTAGCCCCGTGACTAACGTCCTCATCTTGCACATGCTGGGATCCCATATAGACACCAATTCTAATGCCGCTTCCCATCCAGCTCCCTCCTTGTAGCCTGGGAAGGCAGTCGAAGATGGCCCAAAGCCTTGGGACCTTGCAACCCATGTGACAGACCCAGAAGAAACTCCTGGCTCCTGGCTTCAGATTGACTTAATTATGACTGTTGTGGCTACTTGAGGAGTGAATCAGCAGACAAAAGCTCTTCTTCTCTGTATCTCCTCCTCTCTATCTAATAAAAATAAATAAGTCTTTTTAAAAAGCTTAAAAGGAGAGTAAATTTCTACAGTGACTTTGGATAACAATTTTATGAATGATCATGTACATATTCTGTAATCCAGTAAGTCCAGTGCTAAAGACCTAAGCTTATGCACCTGTACACAATGAAATATGCACAAAATGTTCATCCTAGTATTCTTATGACAGAAGAAATTAGAAACAAAAAAGTTCATCAGCTGAAGTCCAATTCAATAACCAGAGCCGTTTTTGCATAATGACATAGGAAGAAGGATTAAAATGTAACTAAATTTAACATAAGGACTGAGCAATGATTTTGCAGCAGGTGCCCTGATACCCCATACAAAAAAAAAAAAAAAAAGGAGAACATGTGGCACCCGCTTGAAAGATGAGAACTGCATTCAAACTCTCTGGGGTTCATAACCAGATATCAAAGCCATTCTCGTTGCTATGGTAACTGTAGCAGGAAGACAGCAGGCGTGTTTGTGATGAAAAATTTTCCTCTTCCTTTCTAAATGTGAGAGACAAGTTCCACATTGGTTATAGTGATCCACTCCACCACCTTTAAAAAACAGATTGAAGCCTACCTCCTCAAAATGCCACAATACTCAGAGTCAGACTCAACTTGGAGAGCTGGCTGTCCACCTGTGACTATAGGGAAGGGGGCTTGATCGACAACCTTTGTTACCTGCTGGGTTTTGTAAGTTAGAGCACCACTGTGCACACAGCTGTTGCCTTCAGTATCGCAAATGTGTCTTGCAGACAACTTCACTATTACTACATGTATTTTCTAAATCCTTCAACAGGAAAAAAAAACAATGGTAAGTGACCAAAATGCATTCGTAGCTCCTGTTAAAACTCTGTCTTCGGCTGACCAGGTAAGATCTCAGAGCAAGTGTTCCTGCAGTTCTGTCACAGAATCTCTAAATTCATCAAGGAGACCCTGACAGTCTTTGATAACATTTGTCATTTTGCAGGCTTATTACGCGATACTCCTCAACAAAGGTCGTCTGGAGGTGCATCTGTCCACAGGGGCACGCACAATGAGGAAAATTGTCATCAAACCAGACCCGGGCCTCTTTCATGACGGAAGAGAACATTCTGTTCATGTTGAAAGAACGAGAGGGTAATGGGAACACTAGAGGACGCACTGTTGAGACTAACATGAACTTCCTGTGCTAGCCTTCGTCGTTGCCTGACCCTCACTGTCTCTGGACATGCTATGCATTGCAAGACGATAAAATGGCTTCATGTCTTCATTATGTGTCTAGTTCGGGAACCTCATTTAACTGAGCCCTAGGGTGTTCTGTTCATAATATTTGTATTTGGAACAGTTTTTTCACCTTAGTGAAAATCCAGTGGAGCTTGTGAAGCTGCAACTAACAATCTCTCTTGCTCCACACCTCTCTGACTGCCCCTTCTCATATGACGTATGCACAAAGCAAAAAAACCCAGAACAGCTCAGTGGGAGCCAGCAGCCTTAGGCAGCTGTTATTTCATTCAGGATCCAAAGCAGTTATGGCAGCTACTCAGAAAACTGTCATAGACATAAAGCATGATAGCAACTGCAGGCCCTGTGGAACCTCTAACGTGCACACCTTGCCCAGTCCCCATCCCCAACATATGCAAAGTCCCTACAGAGTAGCTTGGAAAGGGAGCTGAGACCACAAGGGAAATGGCTGCTGTCCTGGGACCCACTTACCGGCCAATCTCTGTGATATCAGATTAACGGGAGGGAGCCCTGTCTTCTTCCCCTGAGCCCCAAGCCAGAGAATTGACCTTAATAGTGCACAAACTGAGTTTTCATCTCTTCAAAACATTGCAGCACTTTCTACTTTACTTTGTTGGCAAAGCCATCTGTATTTTTCATCAAAATACTCTATGGCAACACAGAGAGGTAATTAGTTTAGAAAGACAATTAAAGGGAAAGCGAACAGAAGCCCAGAGACTTCAGGGACCTCAGACCTTCTAACCAGCCATCCATATGTCAGGCTGAAGACATAGAGAAGAACTGGAAATCCAATTTGACTAAACCCCAAAACTCAGAGAATACTTTTTATACAACAGGAGTGTAAATGTGTGGCAATGGTACAAATAGATAGGTACAATTCTATGCCTAAAATCTACATGCTCTAATTAGCCTCTGGTGTGCATCACAGATTAGCAATAATGATTTCTTGCCTTCAAAGTAAGTAATGAAGTGTTCCTCCACTTATTTTTTTGACTATTATATAGGGCATTAAGCTGCGAGCTAAACCGATACTGAGCAGCCATGCAGCATGTCTGTTAACTGCAATGATTGGAAGCCATGATTAAGACAAATGAGGGGCTAATATCGGGCAAACTGAGGATTTTGTTATTCTGCCAGACATTGTAGTCATGGTCCCTGAGGAGAAATTCAGACTGATTTTTTTTTTTCATTTACATCTTAGGCAATGTGCAGAATGCTGCTTTCCCATGTCTTGTTGACTAGATTCTAGGTCCTTTTGTTATCTTTCTCATTGAAAAAAAAAAAAAACTTAAAAATCTTTAAAGAATTTCAATAAGCACAGGTTTGAGAAACATAGTTAGTCCAAATCACCCAAAATGTTTTTCTGTTGAGAAAGATTATTCTGGAATTCCCCAATGTTCTATGTAGTAAGGTGTCCTTTTAACAGGTGTTTCTCCGCAAAGGGTATTTTATTATGTCAACCTCACAGCTGTTGACCATCAATCCTTCTTTATCTGATTAAGCTCAGTGTACAGTACATCACTGAAAGCTGGCCATTCAGTTAATTGGCCATATAAACAAACAGTTTTGCCATTTACTGTTGATTACAGGATAATGTATTGGATATATTAGTGTGCAGCCACTGAACTCTGCCAAATCAAGAACACATTTACCTCCATAATGTCTCATTCAACACTCTAAGGTCAAAATGCAACAATCCCTAGCCCTTTAAGCAAGTGCCACATAAAACTAACAGCTCACTAGTGACCTCAAACGCTAGAAACATTGGTACTTCCTGTACCTGTGGTGTGGCACGTTCTCAGTCGAGCGCTAGAAAAACATTAAATCTTTTATTCATTCTTCATGTGAGATCTACAATAGTCCTTCTTCACAGATGAGAAAACCTAACTGATCCAAAATTATTATAACAAAGCAGGCTTTAAAACCCAAATTTGACTGAAATACCTCCATTTATGATCAACTTATTCTTACCCTTTTGTGATCATAAAGATTTATATTTCTTTATATTATTATCACTTTCTCCCTGCACTTTCCAGACTAGAATTGTCTGAAACCCCATGTCACATAATCACTGAATTTTCACCAAAATGGGGGATAAGCTTTTTATGATTATCCTGTTATTCTTCTGCCTATCTTTCTAGTTTCCATCCCTTCATTTAATTGCTCCAGTAGCTTGTTTTTTGGTTTTCTAACAACCTCTGCCTTCTCTATTTATTTTTCCCTCTGCAACCTCTACTGGGCTCTATCTCAGTGGTCAGCAGTTCTAACAGAACAAAACTCTTCATCCCCAAAAGCTTAAGTAACTGTATGTGTCAGGAAGATAAATAGCTGAGTTATCTCTGCTTTGTAACAACATTCTTCACACAAGTATGAAGAACTGCAGAGTTAAAGAGAGGTTTTAGCAGTAATTTGAAGTTTCCACAGTAAGAGCAGTTTGGAAAGTGAAACCAAATGCTTTCTTTCTTCTAACCTTCTAAGATATGTCCAATCAGGAAAAAAAAAATCGAAGTAGCAAGCAGTAAGCACACTGATGACGATGTGGGTCTCACATCAGAGTCCCTGGGTTCGATTCCTGTCTCTGAATCCTGACTGCAATCAGAGTAGCCCTGTGGGGAGCAGTGATTGCTCAAGTGACTGATTCCTGCCTCCAGTACATGACTGAGTCTCAACCTGTGAACTGTGGCTCCAGCCCAGTCCAGGTACTGTAGACTTTGGGGAACTTGCCAGTGGATATGATAGGTCTCCCTCATTTATTTCCTTAGTGCTTCTGTTTGATTCTCTATCCATCCCTCCAAAACAATTCAGGTTTTCTAAATTACCAATTTACTTGCTTGCTGTGTTATGTTAATTACCAAGGCATTTGCTTGTCTTGGTATCTTCTTCCACATATTCTATGCAATCAGCAGTGACATAAAGTCTTGCAACCATATTCCCCAGCAAGAAACAATGTAAAAATAAGTTATGTAATTATGAAAATCTAAGAACTGAAATTGCAAAAATAAATACCCCTGACTGATCAAAAATCTAAGTACTTCAGTGTTCAACAGTTTTTCACATTGGATATTGTTAATGAGTACTTAAAGTCTCCAGCAGCATAATGGATATATTCATGATGTCCTTGTATACAGAATCAAAAAGAAGAAGAGTAAATGTATGGCTTTGTTGTTCCTGGAATGAAAAATGCAAGCAAGACTCAACTATAATGTTCTATCACTTCCCTTGTTAAGTAATACAGCCTCAGGGCAATCCCTTAATTAATATTTTCCCCAGCTTAAATTAGGTATTTTATCTTCAATTTATAAATGAATGAAATGAAACTAAACATGATTAAACAATTTGTCCAAGGTCACAGTGCTACTAAGCTTCCACAGTCAAACTTAATTTCCAGTGTGTTCTTTCTGAAAGCCCATGTTCATTCTGCATCACCATCCTGTAATCTAGCAAGCATGGACAACTATTATATTCCTTGAGGCAGTACTCTGTTAAGAAGTTTCCACCAGATAGGCGAGGGTTTGTGGCTCTTTAAACACCCACCAGTGGTGCTGGGGCATGGTGCTTTCAGCCTGGCCCGGCTATGGCTATTGCACCCATTTGTAGTGAACCAGTCAGTAGATGGATGACCTTTCTCTATCTGTGAACTCTGTTTTTCAATAAATAAATCTTTAAAAATTTAACCAAGTGCAAAGATCTCCTCTCCTTAGACCCTGTCTCATGGTGACCTGAGCTCCTGCTAAACCCTTAGGAACACTGTTATATACTAGAAGAGGCTATTTTTTCCCAAAATAAAAAAAAAAATGCGGGTAGAGAAACATTTCAGTGAGTCACACAAGCCTACAAGAGAACTTTTCTGAGTCTCATGAAACCACTACGTGTCAACAGTGTCAGTAGTGACGCTGTGCCTCTGATTTTTTGCCAATGCATTCTTGCACAGACTGCTACAATAAGTAAATGTTGTCTTCCCTTTCAACTGACTGGTCTCCCCCATCCTCCCCAAGCCATAGCCAAATTCATCTCTTGTTCCGTTCTTTTACTTGTGGTTTGTACTGAAAGGAATCAACTGCTCACTGACTAGTCAGAGCATTGTTGCTCCAGCTTATTATTTCCAGCTGCACGTGTGATTTTGCCTCTGGAAAATCCAGTGAGATGGAAATATAAAATTGAATTTTCCAATGAAGTACTTTGATTGTTGTCCCCAGATATGAAGTTGCCAGCATTTCACTCATGATCCTCATGTTGGTGTCCAATACATCTGATTGATAGCTAGATGACTGTTGGATTAGCAGGCAAAAATCTGCTTCTAGAACCAAGGAGAACATTCCTTTGATCATTTTCATCTATAAAATTCTTTTTCTGTTCCTGATTCTTTGCCCAAGGATCCAACAACTGTAGTGAAGTAGTGTGAGGTTCTCAGTTAGTAGTGTGGCTTATCTCTCATAAACAAATTAGGGAAATTAATAAAACAGCCACTAAGCAAAATCATTTTAAACAACAATTAGCTTAGTGTTCCTGCCTGCTTCTTCTATTCAAAGCCAGCAGCCACATGCTTTATAAAATGGGCTCTGAGTGTTTGCTGTTGATTCCTGCAATCTAACCTCTTGGGAGTACAGTCTGTCCCCTAGCAAGAAGATAATAGCTAGCACAAACCAAGAAATAGAGAACCAAACAAAATGGGGCCACATGCTGTGTTAACGCCACTGATCCTGATACAATCAGACATTACTTCACAGTACAGGAAGCCTTGCTGCCTATAGGCTCCTGTGCTAGGCTATAGACTGCTGCTGCCACCTCCACCAGATGCTAATGTGCCAGCTGCACAATTGCCTGGTTTCAGTAAACATCCAGGGAGAGTTAACAAGGGAGATACGTGCCAAGGTTCTAACCATGGCACTTGCTTAGTGTAGCATGCCTAACCATCCTATCGTGGCGCATTTAAAAGTTACAGGAGGGAAAAGGGAAGGTTGGGGTAGCAGGGAAGAATTTTATTGAGTACTCTCTTATTTGTATCTGTTTATTTCCAATATCAGCATCTTTACCGTCCAAATTGATGAAGACAGGAAGTATATGCAAAACCTAACAGTTGAACAAGCCATTGAAGTCAAAAAGCTTTTCATTGGTGGTGCACCACCTGAATTTCAGCCGTCTTCTCTCAGGAATATTCCTCCTTTTGAAGGCTGTGTATGGAATCTCGTTATTAACTCCATGTAAGTGAATTTCCCTGGTACCAGGTTTGATTTGTGCTGTTGTTGGTAGGAGACTCACTCTTGAATCTGCACTATCTGAAATCATGTTCAGGGGACAGAAGCCATGAAGGTCTTCAAGTTAAATTCAGGAAATTGCACTAATAGCCTCAAGGAGGGAGATGGGAGGATCTGATTTTAGTGTAAAGGAAAGAAAACACTGAAAAATAAGGAAAATATTTTCATCGTTTTTCCATAGCCCCATGGACTTTGCAAGGCCTGTGTCCTTCAAAAATGCAGACATCGGCCACTGTGCTCTTCAGAAACCCCGTGAAGATGAAGATGGAGCAGTTCCAGCTGAAATAGTGATCCAGCCGGAGCCAGTTCCCACGCCAGCTTTCCCTACACCTACCGTGACTCTGTCGCATGTAAGCATTTATGTTCACATTGCTTTCCAGTTTTACCCAGCATGTTGAGTCATCTGAAATACTGCAGCAATAGCAAACACTGTATACAGTACATATTAGAACTGAGGGAAGGGTGGTCTTCTGTAGAAACTTACCCACTTCAAATCTTCGTTGAATTACTTCTATTTATACATATCTACTCTGAGTATAAAAAATGGTATTTTTTAGTTGAAAAGCTAGAAAGCAGAAATATCCAAGAACCAAGAACAAGTACCACCTGTGATGCTACAACTTCAGGGGTGCAACACTGTGCATTTTCGGTCCTCATCTGCACATTACACACATCTCATCCACAGACATGATACAGTCCTTCTCTACAGCTGCAGCTTCCACATCTCCAGATTTTACAAACTGCAAATCAGATATTTTTTAAGTGTGTTGTTTTCTTGTCATTTTCTAACGGTGGTATAATAACTATTTACATAACATTTATAGCATATTAAATATTCCAGTAATCTATAAATATGAAGTTTCTTGTTGAACAGGAAAATATGCATAGACTGTATGCACATTCTACGTCATTTTTATAAGGAAGTTGAGCATCAGTAGGTGGCTATCGTGAGACTCCATGGATGACCAAGAGATGACCACACATAATTAAAACTGTTTCTAAATTATGTATTTGTGTCTTATATGAGTGTGTTATATATGCACATTATTATATATAACACAAATTTTATACATATATATATCAAAGTACACAGTCTTTGGTGAGCTAGTAGGCTGCTAAATCAGAGTACTTAGGTTCAAATCCAGCCTCTAACCTACCATCCATATGAATCTGGAAAAACCACTTAGTTCCTCCATATCTTCATCCATAAAATTAAGATGTTAACAGTGCATATGTCATAACTAAGAGTAATCAGCAGGATTCTTAAAAAGACCATGTTTTCTAAATGCCTGGGATAATACTAGGCATTGGATAAATGGCATAATTATGATACTACAGTGATAAGCATTGCTTTCAAGTTTTGACCCCAACTAAACCATTTCCTGCCAGCATTATATAACCCCCTGCTAATGGCTCTGAAATTTAAATCATTTGCCCAATTAAGTCACATTATTAAGAATTAAGTAGTTTATGTAGCTAACTTCCTCACACAACTAGTAACTGCAAGGGTGAGAATTTTAATCCAGTGAGTCAGATTCCAGAGTATAGTTTACTATCCCTGTAATGCTCTGGCTTTACAATGCATCCTACTTTAAGAGCCCATTGTGGGCTTTTCTTTCTTCTAGTTTTTCACTATTAAAAACTATATTGATGTGCACATCTGACACATCTGTGCATCAAGCTTTTTAATTATTTCTGATAATTTTCTTAGAATATATACATAAATGGCGAGTTATAGAGCCCTAATGCAAATATTTGCTAAAGTTCTCAATACACCTAAATTGCTTTTGATTTTACCAACTCGGACTCTCCCCACCTGTGTATCCAGGAAGGCCAGTCTCACTACATTCGTGGTGACACATGCTTGATCTTTATCAGCTATGCTAAAAATGAATGAAAAGTCTCCTTGAATACAGATGTTGAACTGCTTCTAACACTCCTCTTCCTTATTGCCCATGGTAAAAGTGATAATTGTCATCAGAAACTCTTCATAAATAAGTCAGTGAGCCATCAGGAAAATCTGTGATTCAACATCATTTCACGTTTTTTAAAGTGTGCTTACTGCTCATATCTTACCCACCACATAAGTATAGAAAGACAAGTGTCTTGTCTGCTGGTTCACTCTCCAAATGCGAGCAAGAACCATTGCTTCTGAGCTAGACCCAGGAATCAGGAATGCAACCCAGGATTGGCAGGAGCCCAATTACTTGAGCCATCTCTGCTGCCTCCCAGAGTCTATGTCAGCAAGAATCTGGAGCCCAGATTCAAAACTAGTCGCTGATATTAAATGCAGCTCTTAGCTGCTTGGCTAAGTGCCTGCTCCTTATTGTATTAATCAAATGGTATGATACACATGGAAGTATTTGAAAATTGAAAGGAGCATGTCCATGTGGCTACTGAGAAGAACCCCTGCAGGTACTACATAACCAAAGTGTACCCACTGCTATGCCAAGAATTTTATATCCACTGTTTCATCTGGTCTCACACTCTCTTGTTTTATTTACACTTTTCTGTGTTACTGGAATTTACTCCAGTTCACCAAAGAATATAACTAAGATCATTCAAGCAGAAAACCACCAGTCAAGCAGAGATTAGTTCAAGCAGTTGCTTTCTGTCTAAGGCCTGAGATCTGCAGCATGGATTTCAGAATGTCTCAATGTGTGTCAGGCTGATTTTTCCCTAGCCAAGGGACTATTTACTGATCCTCCACCTTGCCTCACTTATATGCCTTACAAATGTGTTTCCAGTTGAAGAATTTATATGTATCCATAGTTGAATAAACTTTTTGACCTTGGGTCAAAAATCATTACAAAATCATTAGCAGGAGAAATCAGCTGAGCTTGCATCCATGTAAGTTGGCTATAATTAGCAAGAGCACTGGAGATCATCTAGTGAAATGACTATGTTGCTACATGACATCTTTCTATGGGACACTTGATGTAGACTTGCCACCTTTGCCATAACACTTTCTTAATGGGGATTTCCTGGGGCTGTGATGGCACAGACTATAACTGTAGGTAGCTATTGGTTATATTAAAATAAAATGACATGCTTGCAACTTTTAATCACAGAGAATATCTGACCAAAGGGTTATCTAAGGCCCACCAAATTATTTGGTCTGTCCCTGTTAAGTAACCGCAGGGGCTACCCCAAACTCAATAAATCTGTAGCATGCTCATTTTATGCTAATAATTCTGTATGGCTTGCAAATTATTTTATAAAAATCCAAATATCCTTTGGAAGAGCAAGAGGTTCTGCAACCCTAGCATTAAATTTGTATTTTTCTATTCGCCCCTTTTAAGATTTAAAAATATCTTCACCTTCCCTAAGCTAAATAGTCAATAAACTCAGATATTCCTTTATAACCTAACGTCTAATTATCACATCCCTAATCATCATTCTTCAGTTGAAATAGCCTTTTCAAAATATAGTACCTAGACTACACTAGTCAAAATGAAGTGACCAGCCCAGGAGACACTGAAATCCTCTTTGGTCTGTTATATTCTAGCAAAGCACCTTTAAATGCTTTTATGTTTCTACCAAATGCACGGTGCTATTGAATGTTATTGGAAATCATATTTCATCAAGTAAGACCTTAAGGATTTTCTTATCACTCTAAATTCTTTCACTCAGATCTCTAGCCTGTTGGTCTTGGTTTGAGTTGTGTTTTGTTTTGCTTTGCTTTTAAAGGGACAATTCCGCTATCCCCCTGATCATTTAACTTCTCTCAAGCACATTTTGTTCTGTAGGAATACCAAATAAAACCCTCTGTAGTTTCTAAGGAGCTTCCTTTGCTGAAAGTAAAGATTCTTGCTTCTCTGGAACTGGACATGTTCACATATTTGAGGTTTTTGTTTTCTTATTTTATTATTTGTTTTAACCTTCTGTTCTAATCTGGTCTGCATTGTTTCACAATAGTGTTTTTGAAAACAGCACATTCCACTTAAATGATGAGTCCGAAGCAAAGGATTATAGTAACTGCCTATTTGGTTGGTTTAGGAAAAAAAAAAAAAAAAAAGACCATGAAGAAAAAACCCTAAGGATTCCAACCCTATATCTGAAGAAAGCAAGTCCTGGAATGTATACAATGTGGTCCTGCATACGAGAGGCAGTTTGCTCTAAAACAGATATCTAAATTCTGACTTTTATCTCCCAGTCTCTTATGACATCAAATTATGACTGTGTGGCCAGAATCCTAATTTTAAAACTTCCCATCTCTATTGAATCACATTGCATTTTAGAGTTTCAGATCATGAAGGCATAAATCCCTTTTCTTTAAGTTTGCTTTTTTTTTATATTTTTCCTTTGCTGGTAGGAGCAGGTGTATTCTGTTGGAAGATTACTAAAAGCTCAGAGTTTGACTTACAGTGATTTTTTATTAAGAACCTACAGATTGCAATGATGAGTAAAGTACTATCAATGTCAGCCTAGGATGGGGAGAAAACAGTCTGACCTACCTGCCAGCGCACACCTACATTAAACTCTGGCAAGTTCCTTGTCCCCTCAAAATGTAAGAAACAACAGAAAAACAGCAATGTATACCTTTCAGGATCATCATGAAGAAACATAGTGCTTGCAAACGACCTAGCACAATGCCTGGATCGTAATGACACTGCTTCATTGCCAATATTTTCTGTCTAGAAAAACAGTGCATTTATTTGAAACACAGAATATTAGGAAGAGATCTTCTGTCTTGTGATAAATCCCCAAATGCCCACAACGGCCAGGTCTGAGAGAGAAGATCCATCTAGATCCCCTGGGTAGGTGACAGGAATCCAGGCATGTAGGCCATCATCCAGTTCATCCCAGAGACAATTGCAAGAAGCTAGATGGGAAGTGTGGAGCAACCAGAACTCCAACTGGTATGCCAATATGGGGTGAAACCATCACAAATTGTGTCTCAATCCATTATATCTCAATACCCACCCCTCTATTTTCTTGTATGGTCTAATTTGTTTATACCTCTTATTCTCTTTTAATTGGAGAAAACATGTCTGCATATTGTAATTGTGCATGTGTCTCATAAAGATGGCAGGAAGCATAGATCAAGTCTGGAGTTTGAGTATTACAGAAATGTACCAATGTGTAAGTTAGAGCAAGATTGGCCTCCATGGATTTAGCTGCATTGATATGAAGGTATCTTTTGTTTGAATTTTAATGAAAAGTTGAACTGTGAACCTCAAAATTTAGAATCAAGATAGCACAGTGGTATAGCAAGCTAATCCTCCACTGGTAAGCACCAGCATCCCTTATGGGCACCAGTTCATGTCCTAGCTATTGTACTTCTGATCCAGCTCCCTGCTTATGCCCTGGGAAAGCACTGGAGGATGGTCCAGTGCCTTGGGTCCTTGTATCCATGTAGGAAGCCAGGAAGAATCTGCTGAGTTTCAGCTGCAGATTAGTTTAGCTATGGCTGTTACAACCAAGTGGAGAATAAACTAGAGAATCAAAGACCTCTCCTTCTCTCTGTAAAAATCTCCCTTTCAAATAAAAATAACTAAATCTTTTTTAAAATGTGTAAACTAAGAACAATAGTAGTAGACGTGAAGAGCTCCTATGTTGATCACAGCTCTGGGAACCCAGGAAAAAAGAGGGCAGAGAACAGAAGAATAAAGCAAAAAGTCCTCTAACAGCTTTATTGCTACAACCTTGAAAGTTGAAGAAAATCAAGGTCAAATAATCAATTTGAAACAGAATGTGTTTGAAGTTATTTCCCATACTCTAACAAATGTCTCTTCATGAACTAGTATATAAATATTACTGTATCTACTCAGGAACCTCCAAAAGAACTCATGTACAGGCAGTTGCCATAACTTAATTTCCCAATAAATAGCTTAATTATGGATTTTACAGTTCACAACACCGGAGTCTGTACTATAAAAGCATCTTCTAGTCAGTATTCATGCATCGAGAAGGTCATCATAAATAAGCCTCAGATATGGTACTCCCCATATTTGTTCGGAGGATTATTGGTTCATGAAAAAAGAAAATTGGGCAGTTTTGATGGTGATTTGTCATTTAAAACTTTCAAGAACGAAGACTCCAGTTTTGATAAATACAAGTTAAATTTCTGCTCTGCACCTATCTAAAGTCAAGAGATGTTTACCAATAAATCACAGGCTACCTTGCAAACAATAAATCATTTCCATTTGCCAGTCACCAAACAGGAGTCTGAAATGACTGCCATTTCATTCTGACCTGAAATGAGTGGCAGTGTGTGAGCAACAGGGTGTTGCACTCGCTGCTGACCTATCTTTTGTATTCTTCACTTCCCTATGGATCCCAAGCACAGCTTCTGTTGGAATCACCTTCAGCCACAGCACTGCTCCCTCAATAGGTGTCCCACTGCACTACACTTCTCATTCCGCTTCTGTCTGCTTGTAACTTTTCACGTGCCAAGAAGAGACCAATCAGGAGAAAGAACATCTTGTCCTTCTATACGCTGTTCTTCCTCCTGCATACATGCAGTCCCCACAAGGTGGCAGAATTGTAACACGTTGAGATTGATGAGCCTCTTGAGCTTCTGACTTATTTATTGTTTTAACAAATTTCAGTGACCGGTATTTCCAAAATATAGGTAAAACATCATGTGCATAAAGTTGATTATTTCTCTCAAGCTCACATTAGCTTAGAAGGGAAAGATTAATTGTGCAATGACCATTCTTTAAATGGTCTTTTAAAATCACCTTATCAGCTCTTTCCTACCTATTGTTCCTTAGCTAGATTTCATAGGGAATCAGGGTTGAAAACATGCTTATAGACAACATGACTTTATTCCATCCGTTTCTATCTCTTACATTTCTCCTTATTATGTGACAAAGCAAGCAGCAGCAGATCACCCTTGTCTCCCATCACAATGCCTGAGCGGAAGTCCAGATGCTGCTCTTGACTCCATCTTCCTTCCCGTGTGCATCCAGGAGGCAGAAGTAATGGTGCAAGTAATGGAGTCCCTGCCACCCACCTGTATCCATTATCCACTCCTAGGCTTGGTCTGGTCCAGCTCTTATCTTTGCAGGATTTTAGGGAGTAATCCAAGAATGAGAGTATGTTGCTAAGAATTATTTTCAGTGTTATGGGGTATAAAGGAAGCTGGAGCTTCAGAATAAGCGATTTCACTCTTCGAAGGATGTGGGGAGAATAATGGGAAAAGTGCATCAGCAGCAACATGCTGGGAGATTGCTGCCCCATACCATCCTCAAATCTGACTTGGTTCCACTCCACCTAGGGAAAACAGTGCATGGAACACACAATATGTCCTGCCTTTAATGAAATGAGGAAGGATTTTCAGTTGCACCAAAATGTTAGTATGTTAGAAGTCAGAGTTTTCTTTCCATTAAATCCAAAAACCTTACATGAACACTTCTCAGAACTTTGTAATAGCCAATTTTATGAAGGGAATGTTTACTAAAGCAATATTAATATCAATCCTACTGCAAATCCATGATGGTAAACATCAATTTGGATAACCTTTCAGAACAATGAACATAGCGTCACGATTGTCTATCTTGAGGTTACCAACGGTTGGTTACTACACCCTTCTGTAGTGGCCAAGCTGAGAATGTCCTTTATAACCACTGCTTCTCTCAGCTCCCTGTGGTGCACCCTCCACAACAGTAAGAAAGGATCTCCCAGCTCTCAGTTTCTTTCCAATTTCCAAGTGAATGTGTCCTGTTATCTAAAAAGGACCTTGACAAAGCACCTCTTTTCTGATCAAAAGTTCCCTTTATTTTAAGCCAGACCTCTTTCATGCGGAAAACCCAACAGAATGTGACCAAGAGTTGCTGCTCAGCTCAGGGCAAGCTATAGAAACTCCTGCCTGTTCTACCTACAAGCAAAGTCATGAGGGTATTTGGGCTGCCTTGTGGAAGAGAAAGACAAAGGGTCTGTACAACATAGAGCCCCCATCAACAAAATATGTCACCTTTACAACCTCCACTTTGATCATTTAAAAACTTAAATTAAGTCTAGTATTAATATTTATGCATTGTATCTGAGTGACTGACACGACAATATGGAAATCACCATATGTTAGTTTTCTCTTTGATAATACATTACTATTACAAATCCCCTGTGTATATATTGACCTTTCCAGTCCTCCAGTTTTCAAAGCAGTGAGTTTAGGGATGCCTTAGTGGAATTGTGCCCTCAGTGGACTCCTAGCAGTGAAGATCCTCTTAGTGATTTCTGAAGACTGAAGGCTACATGTGTTTGTTGAGATGGTCATCTGCACAGGAAATAGCATGAGAAGTTGATAAATGATCGTACTTCTATTAATAGCCTCATTGAAAGGCATTAAGTCACAACAGCCTTTCCATTCGGGCTCATTCTGCAGGCACCGTAAGAAGAAAGGTACAGCTCTGTGCATTTTCCTGACCTGCCTACTGTGTTTTTTTGCACAGCTGTGTGCATTCCAGTCACAGTCTGCCCTTCATAGCCGACGATCTCCTGGGAAGCAGAAGGGAAACATTTGCAGGAAGCCCAATTTTAGAGCATTTCCCACCACTTGAAGCCTTTTACCTGCTGTGGCACAGGGCTCCATTTGACCACACTCAGGAGGAAAGGCAGCTAGGCGTTTCCACTGAAAGTGCAGTGACTGTGTTGCAGATGCGTTGCCTCCAAAGTGACTACTTGGAAAGACACTGCACCAAAATCCTGCTTCGGGTTTCAGGATCCCCTGCTGAGTCAGTGCTCCGTGGGCTATGGCCCAATCCAGAGCTATTAAATGCAGATCTCAAAAACAGATGTGTTGGGGAAAATGTCTCGGTTATTTATTTCCTCAAGTACTGCATGTTCTAAATGGCATTGTAAACCACCTGCACATCCAACTACCTTGTGAAAATAGAGAACAGGAGAAGGAGTATGGGTCATTCAAGGAGTCTTAATTATCTACTGAGCTGTGTGTTACAGTGGCCAAATATGTTCCAGTTAGACAGACGGACTATGCCATTTGTAGGGCCCCATGCAAAATGCAAACACAGGGCTGCTTGTAGAAAATTGTTACAAAAAGTGAGATAGTGACCGTAAAGCTTTAAACCCAGTGACTGCACAGCCCTGCACCTAGCTGTCCCTCTTAAATACCCTGGGAAGCAGATCTTTAAACAGTGGCAGTTGAAATGGCATGTGGTGGGTTATATTAAATAAATAAAAAAGTGCTAGGTTGCCTAGCAACTAGCTGCAGGCCTGAATGCGCTGACTTGCAGGTTCTGATACACCATCTTGAAAGTCTAAATTCATGACAACCTTCAAGTGGAAGGGTAATACCATGTGAGATGGAAAAGGGGGGGGGGGGGCAAGAAGGAACAATTTTTCTACTCTTACTACCCTGGGTGGCTAGCTTGTCATTCTGCTTCAGTTTCCCAAGAATATGGCCCTGCATAAATGAAGTGCAAGTGAAAAGGAAATTCCAGTCCCCTCAGAAACAACAATGAATTTCCTTACAGGAAAGTGAAAATACATTTATTTAGAAATTCAAAGAGGTGGTATCAGAAAAGTAATTCACACAGAGTAGTAAGTGCCTAATGTCTAGTAAAAACTAGAGATAAAGAAAAGATGGATTTCATTCTTAAGGAACTTACAGCTATACGTGGATAATAGGTTACTAGAGAAGAAGTAATTAGCAGCATTTTGTCTTGGAAAAACTGATCCATTGTCACCTCTTTTTCCCTCCTTGATATTTTACAGGGTCCTTGTGCTGCAGAATCAGTGCCAGATCTTTTGATGGGGAGCAAGCAATTTGGTCTTTCAAAAAATAGTCACATTGCAATTGCATTTGATGACACCAAAGTTAAAAACCGGTATGTATTTTCAGTGACACTGGGTAAGAGCTAAAAAATATGAACTGAGTTTTCATACTTAACCAACTTCATTTAATTCATTAATGAGGTTAGTTTTTTTTTTAATAATTCAGTGAGAATGGCAGGAAAGAACTTACATTTGTCTTAGCCAATTGTACCCAGTTTGGAAGCCGTAGAAAAGTTTCTTCTACAAAATCTTATGCATATATATCCACAATTGGGTACCACTCCGCTTTCTCTCAGGAACATGCCCATATCCTGGTTTTCTTTGTGTGTTTTTATTTTACAGCCTCACAATTGAGCTGGAGGTTCGAACAGAAGCTGAATCAGGCTTGCTTTTTTATATGGCTCGAGTCAATCATGCGGATTTTGCTACAGTACAGCTAAGAAATGGATTCCCCTACTTCAGTTATGACTTGGGCAGTGGGAACACCAGCACCATGATTCCCACCCAAATCAATGATGGCCGGTGGCACAAGGTAATGATGCCAGGAAAGTTGGCAATACCGTAGGAGTGGGAAACCACATGGCAGCCTTTGGCACTCCCCTGGTGCCAGTACCGATTAACAAATGCAGACACTGACCCTGGTGCTGCTGGAATCTAACTCCAGCTAAAAATAAAGCAAGTACCTCAAACAACTGTCTCAGCCTTGGAAAGTGTGATGGAAGTAGGTGGGTTTACATTTGCATTCTTTGCTTTTTGTCTGTGGTTCCAAAACATGTGTCTACAAACAAGAAGCAGGCAGTTCAATGTGTTGCTGCTGCTTTGAGAAATACGGACAACAGTGTATTCATATCAAAGTCTATGTATTCAGCTTAAAGGAACAGATCCAGTCTGAGGTTACATATTTGTTTAAGGTGCCAAAGGATCTCTTAAAGTTAGCAATGCTAAGACAGATCTCAGACCAACTACCCACACCTTCCACCAACAGCATACTGATCTGTGAGAACCCAGTGTCTGGGAACCTCTGCTCTTTCATGTTTAAAGGGCTCTAAGGTGTCATTTGTACTGACAGTCATTTGGAACAACTTCTAAAATGCTGGCCTTACACGTGGAAAGTGGTACAACTATGTACACAGACGACTCCTTTGCCAGCCTACTGTCCTCTTTGGCAGGACTATAAATAGATAATATACTTCCCAATTGAAACAAACTTTCACAATTTGTCTCTGCACCTGTGATTGCTTATTAAGTAAAGTTTTCCTAGGTAGAACAATAAAATATTTGCCAATCAGGAGATTGTTAAGTTAAATTTGATGTATTAAAATACTTGGACTTGTCACACTATGTTGAAAGCCAACGAACCCGAAAGAAAAGAATACCCAATAAACTCAACATCAACCAATTGGTTACCTTGGAAATAAGGAATGGAATTTTGGTACTTACTTGGGAGCTTGTGATGTGCAATACTGTTGCTAGTGAAAAGCCCTCATTAAGGATTATTCTCAGCTCTAGCTAATAGTGTAATAAACATGACAGAAAAGAAAGACATATTGTTGGGCCACAATGAGCCTTGGATTAAGAAAAAGCATGTAAATGCCATAATTAAACCAAATTAGAGATGGATTTTATTTTTGTAGGTATTAAAAGAACACTTCCCAGAGCAGAATAGAGAGCATACAATAAGCTGTTACATTTCTCTAATCACGATCCCAATTCATTTTAAAAACATGATTGGGGCCCGGCGCGGTGGCGCAAGTGGTTAAAGGTCCTCGCCTTGCACGCCCGGGATCCCATATGGGTGCCGGTTCTATCCTGGCAGCCCCACTTCCCTTCCAGCTCCCTGCCTGTGGCCCGGGAGAGCAGTCAAGGACGGCCCAAAGCTTTGGGACCCTGCACCCGCGTGGGAGACCCGGAAGAGGCTCCTGGCTTTGGATCGGCATAGTATCGGCCCGTTGCGCTCACTTGGGGAGTGAATCATCGGATGGAAGATCTTCCTCTCTGTCTCTCCTCTCTGTATATCCGCCTTTCCAATGAAAAAAATAATAAAAATAATAAATAATAATAAAAAAAACATGATTGGCATGCCACCAGTTCACAGGCTTATATACTCCTTTTCCAAAAGTCAGATATTCATATACTCCTTTTCCAAAAGTCAGATTTTTATGCACAAGCCAATGTTCAGACCCCTCACTTCATTCTGTCCCACCAGGTGATTCACTCTACCAGCACCAGCTTCCTTCTTGACTGTGTGGTAATCAACACCGCAGGAACAGCAGTGCTTCAAGTGTGCCCTGGTCCTCTTTAATTCTCTACTAGAAGAGCCTGTTAGCTCGTGGGATATAGCAGATCCAAAGCTGTGCTTTACTCGATCAACAAATGTACCCTTTAACCTGTTTTAGCTCACCTAATTCATGATAGTGCTATGCATCTGCAGCTTTCCTTGCAACATCCCTACCTCACAATAAGCATGCACAGACTTCACCTGAAAATTTATCCAGGAAAAGAATTTGGTTCTTTTGCAGATGATAGCCACAAAAAAATACCTCGTCTGACATATTTTGTAAATAGGTTTTCCTCTCATATATATTGTGAGGTACACAAATACCATGCACTTTATCACTTGTTCTATTTCTCTTTTGGAATATTAAAAAAAAGTAGGTCTTAGATGCTGCAGCTTTTAAATTCAAGATGGGCATTAATGGTTCCTCTGTTTTGCAGATAAAGATCACAAGAATTAAGCAAGAAGGAGTTCTTTCTGTAGATGATGCTTCTAACAGAACCATCAGTCCCAAGAAGGCAGATATCCTGGATGTTGTAGGGATGCTCTATGTTGGTGGATTACCCATCAACTACACTACCCGAAGGATTGGTCCAGTAAGTGTTGATGGCTTCTTTGTTGCCTAAATTATCTGGCTGAGTCATTTACTTGTGTATGTGTTTTGATTAGTCACCAAGATATCTGAATATGGAATGCTGTGCTGATTTTGACCAGGGAGGGCTGGAGAAAGAGGAACAAAGGAGGTACACTCCTAGGGAAGAGTTGAAGCCAGGTTCACAGAGGAAATTTTGCAGAGGGTTGAAAGGCACCATGGAGCAATGTGGGTGGTATATTCATGAGGAAGCTAGCAGAGACACCACACCAGGGAACTAGGAAGATGGCAGATCCAGAAAGGGGTGGCAGCAGCTGCAGTAGCCAGAGCCACAATGTTTTCTGGTGCAGAATCTTGTGAACCACACTGACTCTAGGTTCAAACCACAGCCAGAATTGGCGGGGGTGGGGGGTAGAGATTCTAACAGTTCATTGCTGCAAAGAGTACACTCCCCCCCGCCATTCTCCAAGAAAGGACCCATACCAGTGGGAGAAGGGACATCCAGTAGAGTCCACCAGAGTAAGATCACCCAAAGTCACAGTGGCTAGGGCATCTCCACCAGGTGCCTGGCTCTCTGAGTTCACATGCAATTAGGTAGTTCTGTCTAGATGATAAATTTGTATTTCCCACTGGCATTGAGTCTGGGCTGCTGGGCTGGTGGCCTGGCTGCAGCAGGCATTCATATCAAGAACTGTGAGGTATTCACATACCCCTACCTGACTACACGCCCTGAGGGGAGTTGCAGCACTAGCTGCCAAAGTGGAGCGCTCACAGATTTCTCATGCTGGAAATACCTCTGTCGTTTCTAAAATCAGAGCAGACTCAAGGGCCTGTGGAGATCCCAAGGATCTTCTGATTTGGAATAGTGTGCCAAGATAGTGGGAATTCTGTGACTGATGATAGTGTATGGTACGTAACTGTACTCTAAGCATATACAGAATTACACAGATTTGCATGATACATGTGCTGATGTGGGTAGCGGGTTGTAGTAAGCATTGGTCGCCTACCATTGATCACCTTGTAAGAAAGGAAATGAGGCTGTTATTGTACTAATAGTTGTGATCTCCTTTGGAAAGTGCTAAACCCAGAAAGAAAGGATGCAAGCCATAGTCAAAGATGGCAAATGGAAAGACCGCTTTACTAAGGTCCACACAAGGAGACAATTCAACAGAGATACCAACACACACAAATACACATATACACATACTCACACATATACACAGGCATGGCAGGTCAAAATCGCAACCTCTCAGTATTAACTCGAAACACAAATGGCCTAAATTAATCAAAAGACATAGATTAAGAGAATGGATCAACAAACAGGACCCAATTATCTGCTACCTATTAAGTATAATGAAAGTGTGCTATTGTGAAAATTGAGCCAAGCTGAAGCCAGGAGCTAGGAAAACAATCAAAGTCTCCATATGGGTGGCAGGAACCCAGTTACTCTGAGCCTAACTCACTGCTTTCCAAAAGAATAAGCATTAGCAGGGATTTAACCTGGTACTGAATCCAGGTTCCCCTACAAGAGCTGCAGGTTTAGCAACTTTAGGCTAAAAGCCCACCTTGAAATGAGATGGCAAAAGTGCTTGGAAGAGTACATAGATGCACTTAGGCAGCACTGTAGAACAACAACAACAAAAGATGGTACTTATGGTAATGTTTCAAGTCTAGAGATTTAGTGAACTGTGGAGATGCAGTGTTCAAAATAGTTATTTAATTTTCAATGCAGAATTTAGAACCCTCAATTTTATAAATCAATATTTACTAAGCATTTTTTTTGCCAGACTGTGTATCCTGGTTTGCCTTGGAACTCATTGTTCTGAGAAGCAAAGATTACAGCAGAACATACACTTAACACAAATGTAATGGGTTTCTATGCTCATATCAAAACTGGATAGCGTTTTTCATTCATCAAAGATAGTTGCCCATCTAGTTATAATTCTCGTCATTTTGCCCCTCTGTGGATCATCAATTTGACTTTTTTCCCAGCTATTGATGTGCTATTTTGGTGCATCAAAATCAGAAGTCTCTCTAGTGACAGTGACAGAAGTAATTAAATTCCTAAAACCAGATGAAATATAATGGAGAACAGCATGGTGTGTTATTTCTGAATTCCTTGAAAGCTAAATGTTTCATGCAAACTTTCAAGTTTTATATGTGTGTGTCTTTTCTTAGAGGAGCAGTTACTTCTTTAAGTATAGACCCAAACATAATTAACTTTTCCAGTAGAAATTGGAAACCTTTTATGACTGCATATTATGTATATATGTGTGTATTATGTATATATACACACACATATACTAAGGGTAACAAACTCTATTAATATAATATCAGGAACATAATTAAAAGTTTTGACACTCATATGGAACCAACAGTTCTGTCAAATCAGGAGCAACCCTGTGACAGAACAGTCATAGTGTAGAAACAGTGTCAGAGCAGTTGCAATACCAGAATGCTCATATTCTAAGTCAGATACATCGGGAAGCACAAGATCATCTTCCCTAGCACTGGGAAGCCTGGGATGGTAAAACAGACCCAGCAGGATTCCAGGGATGCCCTAAAACAACAACCTGCTAACCTCAAGCATGGTGTATCCCACCAAAAAAAAAAAAGACTGCATTCCATATTAAAGTTTTGATCAAATGTAAGCTTCCTTCTGTCTCCAATACTCAGGTGACCTACAGTATTGATGGCTGCATCCGGAACCTTCACATGGCAGAGGCCCCTGTGGATCTGGAGCAGCCAACCTCCAGCTTCCACGTGGGGACGTGTTTTGCACGTGCTCAGAAGGGAACGTACTTTGACGGAACCGGTTTTGCCAGAGCAAGTGAGTCTCCTGCATTTCTTTCCTGTTTTTTGTGGTCAAGGTACAAATACTGATTTGTTGCTAAAATTTGCCAAGTTCCTAACTCACATGCTTAATGTAAACCAGAAATAAACTTATAGAAATTAATAAAATAATGCCTCTTAAATGTGTGTGTCAATGTCTACCAAGAATCAATAGAAGAAATAAAGGTCAAGCTTATTGGGTAGGTTGATGCCATCCTCTTCTCTGCAGATAATAGCAAAATCAACAACATTCTGCAAAAAGCCTTGTGTGTTAGATTCTTTCATTCTCCATCTTCCAGTTCTCCAACTACCTTTCTGGACAGGAGAATGGTTTTCACGTCTTGTTCATCAGTTCCTTGCCAGGCCCTGCCACATGATCGCCAATACACACAGTTTCAATGCACATATCCTCATGTCCATTTCTTTTTTCATGGCTATGTGTGGCAGCTGACCCTCGCTTTCTTTCCTAATATAGATGTAGATCACTAGTCATGAATTTATACTTTGGAAAGAAAAATGGGAAATAACTTCTACTTAATCACAATATAACTAATGTTAACATACTTTAAGATAGCAGTATTCAGTCCTGTGATCTTCATAGACAATTGTTCAGTAGAAAAAGTAATACCTTTAAGTTATTGAGGATAGCACACTAGTAAATAAGACAATTTTTTCCTTCAAAAAACATATCATTTTAAAGAACATTTAGTTGAGTCATTAAGATGCCTCCAGACCACATTAACATACCAAGATTCAATTCGCTGATCTGGGTCCTGACTCCAGTTTCCTGGCTAAGATCCAGGGAGGCAGGGCCCAGTGCAGTGGCCTAGTGCTTAAAGTCCTTGCCTTTCATGCACCTGGTTTCCATATGGGTGCCAGTTCTAATACCAGCAGCTACATTTCCCATCCAGTTCCCTGCTTGTGGCCTAGGAAAGTAGTCAAGGATGGCCCAAAGCCTTGGGACCCTACAGCCATGTGGGAGATGTGGAGGAGATTCCTGGCTTCAGATTGGCTCAGCAACCTCCCTTGCAGCCATTTGGGGAGTTAATCATCAGACGGAAGAACTTCCTCTCTGTCTCTCCTCTTTTCTTTATATCTGACTTTCCAAGAAAAATAAGATCTTAGAAGCAAAAAATGACCCAGGGAGGCAGTATTGGTCTCTCAGATAGTTGGGGCCTTTCTGTATGCTTGGGACAAGTAGACAAAGTTCCCAGTTTTAACTTCGAGCTCAGTCTGTACTCTGTCCATTGAAGGCATCTAGGAATGAACCAGCAGATTGGTACACTTCTCTCTGCCTAATAGAAGTCTGAATACACACACACACACACACACACACACACACACACGGATTACCTATACGTATATCAATATTAAAGGTTCTACTTGCTCAAACATGACAAGTAAAGTATCTCAAAACTAACAGACATGCAAGCTACATCCTGTATGTATTTGTAAGAGTGTTTAATTTTGGTTGCAGAAATCACAAAATATTTTGCAGAGGAACAAACATGTGAGCTAGAATTAAGTTGAAATGCTAAGCACTCCCAGGATAACTGGTAGGGCTGAAACAGGAAGACCTCTCAATACAACCTTACCTTTGCAGAAACAGAAGACACAGGATATGTTAAATCTTGAAACTGCTTGTGCTGTGAGAGTCCAGAATCTCCCAACATTTGGGGGATTCACAAATGGCTAGCATTCTCGCCTACAAATTTGACCTGGACCTTGGCATCTGCAGTTGGTGGATTAGCTTGCTAGACTGCCTGGGTTCCTTTGGTTCTGGATCACACCAATCCAGAAAATTAACCACATCCCCAATTTCCAAATTTCTGCCATCTCATCAACATGCACCATAATAAAAGCCTCGTAAGATGTGGGTGGGTAGTAGAGAAGATTACTTAGCTGGTAAACATACTATTTCAATTTAGCCTTTGGTATCTTTGTTCTCAAAAGCTCTCAAGTCACCCAATCCCTCGAGTTTTTATTAGTGTCTTTACTTTCTAAGTCCTCAGTCCAACGGCCATCTGGTCACTCTTGTCTTATTTCCTTGTTCCTGTTTTATCCTATAGACTGAAACTTCTACCCTTGCTCTTGAAACCTGCTCCAGATTCACCTTTGCTCACCCCAATCCATCAAGGGGATGAGCAGAAGGAACGTTTTTCACACAGTAGGCTTCATCCATTAATGGAGACAACTGTGGCTACACAAAAGATTTACTTATTACCCTTATTACCTAATAACTAAATGGCATAAGAAAAATTATTTTTGTCCTTCTCTAGCAGTTGATGTGGTCTAAATGCATCTTAATATTTTTCCTGAGTCATGTCTGAAGCACTAGTTAAAAGATGAAACAGATCAATAAATCAAATATGGATAATTATACAGAGAATAAACGGATGAACTGAAGAAATCTATGTTCCAGATCCATCCTAACAAAATTATGCTTATGATTAGTCTGTCTGTTAACACAATTTAGAAATGCTTAATCCTTTCAGACCATTATGATATCACTTCAAGTACCCCAATAAAATTGTATTGAATAATCACTGAAAAGCATTTCTTAATCCGTAAGAGACATCTCATATTTACCTGGCTGAGGGATTCCGAGTCAATCCTTTCATTTTTTCAACAAATAAATTAAAATTCCATCACATGCTACATTACTTTACTAGAGACAGGAATAAAGATGGGAAATAGAAACTCTCTTTCCTTTAAAACTTACTTTCTGGGAGGAAAATCTACCTGGAAAATAAGTCATGGATATAACTGTTGCTGAAAAATAAGCCATAGGTAGCTTTGAAATGTACAACCCTCATTATAATTAGACAGCATGCATATTAATGTAGCACAAATACTGCCTCATATAGATGAGAATTTAAGATTCTTGTACTCTACTTCATACATTTTTAAATCTTAATTTTTCAGTTGGTGGATTCAAAGTGGGATTGGATCTTCTTATAGAATTTGAATTCCGCACAACAAGAACCACTGGAGTTCTTCTGGGAATCAGCAGTCAAAAAATGGACGGGATGGGAATTGAGATGCTCGATGAAAAGGTGAGTGTTCACTTGTGGACACTTCTGCATTTTGCGGGATTGTCCATATGGGAAGAACTATAATCTGAAGCCCTGCTGTGTTTTTTGTTGACAGAAACCTCAAATCTGTTTTTGATCCTTCTGGTTTATCTCAATTTGTATATGTTTCCAGTATTTCTTTTATGCAAACCAGCATATACTTTATATGTGCTAATTCTACAAAAAACTGACTTGTTGACCCTTGGTAGACCAAATGACTTTATAATACAAGATCTTAAACTATTGCCATAAGCACAATGATGAACATATAGTCTAGGAAACGGCTAATTCCAGTGGAAAAGAAAAATAGAGAAGGTTTGGCTCATTTGTGATCTGCTTGCCACTTAGCAGGACAGGATATTCTCAGCAGTCAAGTCAGCCAGATAGTATGTGAGCTTCTCAAATGTTATTTACAAGCAACCAGATACTTTATTCAAAAAGAGGGAAAGAACTAATTCATGGAAGTGCTTTTTTCACTCTGCCTACAATGGATAATTGAATTCTAAGCATCTCTGAAACCCCTGCCTTGCTAAGACCAGCAACCTGCAGTGTGAGGATCTGCTTAAGTGTACTTCCTACCATGAGTTCAGAAGAGGAAGCAAAACCAGATAAGTCTATTCCTCTCTAGCTATTAAATAACAATGATACATCAGCTTTGTTCATATTTCCATTCTTGGAGCACTGTTGGCCTTCTGAAAAGAAAAACACATTGTGACCCAAAACGGGCTTCCCTTGCTCCCATCAATCTTCAAACCATACTCAGAGCAGCAAGAAAACATAGAAAAAAAAAAAAAACAGGAAAGGGCTTAGAGGTAAAAAAATAAAATAACCAGTACTTCATAGTTGTGCCATATTTTCAATGTATACTTTGTTTTACATGTTGCAAGTAAGCTTCATTTCCCCACAGGCTTCGAACCAGTCACTTTTCCTGTCAGGTGTCATGCAAAATCCTGTGCTTACTCCTCACTCCATTTACATCCCCGTATGGGTTGCAAACTTTTCACTTATTTTGACTTTTCATATTTTTTCAAAACGTGTTCCCAAATTGACTGATGTTTTTAATATTTCAATATGTTTCTTTTCTTCATCAACTTCAAAAGAATTCTATCATCTCAAATTTCAGGGGCCTTTCTACATTACTGAAAACAGATTGTTCTCATTTAAGCAAGAACTTCTAATCTAAGTTCTTCATTGTTGGGAATTTAACTGGCCTTCTGGCTCAAGTCTTTGGCACCTGCAACATGAAACATGTCCCAGAAAAGTGATTTATGTAACTCCCAATCTGTATGGAAAATGAAATCCATGCAGGAAAAAAAAAATACAATTAAAACATCAAACGGTTAATTTAAGAAAAAAAAACTTTAAAATGAATTTGTTGACCGAAATAATGAGCCACTCAAACAACAGCTTTTAAGAGTATTTTGTCAGGGTCACTATGAACTCTTATACTGAAAGGAGATCTAAGGGGAAATTTTTCTCGTGATGCTAGAGGCTTCTTTTGTCACCTGATACCAAATTTTCTTCCAGCAACACCAGCTTCATACCATTTGCCAGTTAATCCCCCAAATGTTGAAAAGCGAAAAGCAAAGAACATAATTTAAAATGTCTAATGATTAGAGCTATATTTTAACTTCGTACACTTGTTAAACTTTTTTATGATACCCCAGTGTTTGTTTCAAATGATTCCAGCCAGCGATCATGGGGCCCTGAGAATTTCAGCCACTTGAGCCACCATAAAGACCCTGTAATCAAGTCACCTGTACCTGTTCCATTCCCTACTTTCTAGCTGATGTTTCATGTGGACAATGGTGCTGGCTTATTCACTGCTATCTATGATGCGGGAACCCCAGGGCGTTTGTGTGATGGACAATGGCATAAAGTCACTGCCAACAAGATCAAACACCGCATTGTGCTCACAGTCGATGGGAACCAGGTGGAAGCGGAAAGCCCTAACCCTGCATCTACCTCCACCGATACAAACGACCCTGTGTTTGTGGGAGGTTTCCCAGGTGAGTGTGGGCTATAATAGCAAGGATTTGCATGCTCTCTTGTTCCTGTCTTTGAAAACATCAACACGTCAGTGTGTTCAAGAATGTGTGCTGCAGTGTGCTTGTTTTGCAGCTTCAGAATCTTCTCCCAATCCCATCAATAACTTTCTGTGGAATTTCTAGGATATCAAATGAGTGCATTACTTACAAAAACAACCTGGGACTGATCTTTTCGTGCCAACTCCCAAAACTCCATTTGTGGAAGATATGGACTAGAGGAAATGAATTTGGCTTATAAAAGATATGAGGCATTTAACACTAGTAAAGACCAAAGCTGGTGTTCTTTCTTATTCACTTAATATTAATATACCAGAGGAATCATAAAAAGCTGTAACACTAATTTCCTCATGTTCTGGAAATCATCGGGTTAGACATAGCTAATTCCCCCTTTAGGCTATTTAGAGATTATTTAGAGGTTATATTTCTATTACAAAGAAGCCCAAGCAATAGATCTGCATTCAGAGTCCTTCTGCCACATATTAAGTATACCACGTGAACCACAGAATCACCTAAAGTGCTCATGAAGAGTGGTCAACCTGTGAAGCACATGCCAAGTGACTCTTAGCAGTGTAATCACAAGATTCCTGAAGTGTTCCCTCACATGTGTCACACAGCGAAGATACATTGTGGTGAGTGCCAGAGCAAAAGACACAAATGTGACAGGGACCACTGAGACCTCTTCTCCCCGAAGGTGTTGCTTGGTGTTCAAAGAAGACCTGCTTCAATCACGATAAATGCCAACATTTTGCAAATGAGATCATATTCTTCTTACTGTACAGTCTATAAAATAAACTGCTGGTTGCTCTCTTATCGGCGTGCTATAAAAAGGGCCAACCTCTTTAGTAAGAAAGATTTAATGTGGGCCTCCATGCCACATGTTGAAATTTAATCTTAAAAATAAATGTCATCAGGCCCGGCACAATGGCGCAGTGGTTAAGGTCCTCGCCTTGCACGCCCGGGATCCCATATGGGCACCGGTTCTAATCCCCGCAGCCCCGCTTCCCTTCCAGCTCCCTGCCTGTGGCCCGGGAAAGCAGTCAAGGATGGCCCAAAGCTTTGGGACCCTGCACCCGTGTGGGAGACCCGGAAGAGGCTCCTGGCTTTGGATCGGCACAGCATTAGCCATTGGGCTCACTTGGGGAGTGAATCATCGGACGGAAGATCTTCCTCTCTGTCTCTCCTCTCTGTATATCCGCCTTTCCAATAAAAATAAATCTTTAAAAAAATTTTTTAAAAAATGTCACCTTTAAATATCCAGGCCCTGGGGCAGGCAAAGTGACACAGTGAGTGAGGCCCTCTCAGGTGCACCCTGGGAGGTAGCGGACATGGGGTTCTTAGCTGCCTGTCACCTACACGGGAGAACCCAATGAAGTTCCTGGCTCTTGGCTTCTGCTGTGTGATGATTGGAGGGTGAACTAGAACATGGAAGATGTTTCTGTCTCTCCATTTTTCACCTCTGTCTTTCTGGGTCACTCTGTCTTTCAAACAAATACTTATTTAAATTTCAGCAATAATCCATGTCCTAATTCACCATTAGAAGTATTTGATAATCCATAAAATGATGCTTAATGAAACAGTTTGTCAGAACAGTAAATTTTTATTCTTAAGCGAATAGTCCGCTTAATATCGTAAAAGGAATAAATCTATGTTTACAAATTTTGTAATTAAAAAGAACTTTCTACAAATGCATCAGTAAAGGTAAAAAAAAAAAATCTAAGTTTATGTAAGACCAGGTTTTAGTTTAATCTCCAGCTAACAGCTGACTTTGAAACTTGTTGACATTCAGGTCAGTAACATATTAAGCTCAGCTTCGGGTTTGTTTTCTTCAGATGACCTCAACCAGTTCGGCCTGACCACCAACATCCGGTTCCGAGGATGTATCCGGTCCCTGAGGCTCACCAAAGGCACTGGCAAACCACTGGAGATTAATTTTGCCAAGGCCCTGGAATTAAGAGGCGTTCAACCAGTGTCATGCCCAGCCAACTAACCAGAAGAGGTTTCCCTTTCAGAAGGGACCATCAAAGCCACTATTACAAGTACAATAAGTATATGTACCTACGTATGTTAATAAAACTAATGTGTGCACATATTTAGTCTTCCTGTATTCAGATGGTGCTAATTCAGAATCCTACACTGATTTCTAATTCAAATTATTTCTCAAGTCTATGAATATTAAAACAAGTATTGCATTCTAAATAATTGTGTTTTGTGTGATCATTAATGATAAAAAGCAACTAACCATAAACTGTTGGATTTGAAAACTACTCTGGAGTCTGCAACTACAGATGCAACTTGGGAAAGGCAGAGGTCCTTTTTAATGTATTCCAAGTAATACTTTTATCATCCTTTTCCGTGTTTGTCAGCTTTGGCTTTCTGTCCAAGCTATTGAAAGCAAATGAACTTGGCATATGTGATTGGGGAGAAATCTGCTCTCTTACTCCCTGTGTTTGTAAAAGCGTTAGCAAATCATTTTCTTGATCCACATTCATTATTAGAGAATTTAAGTAGCTGTATGAACGAACACCTTTTTATTGCTGAAGGTAGAGAGTATAGATCGGATCCAGGTCAGAGAGTTTAATTGCTTGATTTTCTTGTTTGATGATGATTTATAGGCTTTCGGGAGTACCGGCACTACACTGTGGAATGACAATTAAGCACACATTTGATACCACAGCATTTGAGGCCTGGGGTTGTTTATGTTTTCAGTGACAGTCACAATTTATGGAAAGCAATAATACTGAAAAGTATTTTCACTTATTGAGAAACAATAAGCCAGAAACTTCAAAGGTATCCGTCAGTGATTCTTTTGTGGCTGTAACAGTATGTAAGAATCCTTTGCTAGAACATTCTGCTCTTTTTCCCTCCTTTTGCATTCTCTTTCAACCATTGTCAAAGAGCCTGGGACAAGAGTGGTGGAGGTTTTCTCCCTCGGTTTAAGGAGTAAATGATTTGCCCCCTTTGGTAGAAGCAATTATAGTCTGATAACAGAACACTCAAAAGAATACTTAAAATTATGTAGTCAAAGAGGAAAACCCAAGGGGAAAAATCAACTACCACACCAAAGGGCTTGTGCAGCTATTTCAAAATATCACTGTAAATGTTTTCATGACCATTTTCATACATATAAAATTATATTGAACCTAATATCTTTAACCTTTAAAGCGACCTTTAAGTAATAATAGTACTTGAGAATCAATATGCTTTGAATTTAAAAATATTTCTTCTGCACTGAACACTGATAAGGGTTTAGGGAGGGGTTCTAGATACTGAATGGGTTAAACAGATGTAAAGAAACTAGGTTCCTTAAATTAAAAACAAATGATTTTCTTTCCAGAATTGTGCACCCAGATGCATAAATTCAAAGGCAAAGGCTTTCAGTTGATATGCCTTTTAGAGTAAAGTCCTACAAAAATCAAATTGTACCTAAATGCCTTCAGATGGTAGACTTGGAAGGCGCATTTGAGAACAAACCACAGTGACTCTCAATTACTTACATATTAATAGAGCCTCAGATCCTTAAAAAGCAGAATCTGCATCTGGGTGTCACTTAGTCTAACAAAACCATAACCTCCAGGGTTCTATCACTGGTACTTTTTAAAGATTCACAGTTGATGCTGCCACCTCTGCATTGGTCTGGGAGGAAGTTCCTGGAACTCAGGGAGACTTGATGGCATGCTCAGTTTCCCACCATAGCAAGTCTCCAATACAGATACAAGAAAATTGTATTGAGACCCTGGAGAAATTAACTTGCTTTATCTAGACTTCATAGCAGCCTGTGTATTTGTATTGGCAAATCTTTTAAGCATTTTAAGGTCTGAAATAAAGAACACTTATTAATATAAAAATTTTCCCTATCATATTTCAAGTATTTTTTTCTACCTCAAAACTCAAATTTTTGGCCCAAAACAAAACTTTTCTTGAATTCTATCCCCTCATCATTCGCTCATTTCATTGCCACCCACAACAATCACCAGGAAAGCATCATACTCTTCTTTCCACACACCCCCTCCTACTAGGTTAGCATTCCTTCCTTTACAAATGTGTTTAGAATAAAAAATGTTGATAGAAAACTTTCATTGAAGTTACCATGGTGAACACAACTGATAATGGAAACTAACTGGCACATTTCAGACACAGGTTACCAAAACAGAAGCTCAACTTTTTTTTTTTTTATTTTGAATTTTATGGTATAGTTGCATAGCGTCTGGGATCCCTCCCACCACTGCAAATCATCACCCTGCCAACTGATTTCCCCATATTATTACGACAGTATAGTCCTTCATAAGAAGTCATGATTCCATCAATCTGTTATTTAAGTGTGCCCCAACGTTGCTGATATAGATAATGTCAGACAGTCCAGCATCCCATTGTTTAGATATGTCCAACAGTTTTATGGGGAGTCCATCTTTGATTCAGAAGTAGGGATGCATATTGCATTGTATCTTCACATCTGGATATGGTAGTATCTACTACACCATCACTATACATTCCCTTAAATGAGAAGCCATGAAACAAAGTCAACAACAGGTATGAAGTTAAAACAACAAAAAACTTAATTAAAACACCATGGAGTCGAGAAAGCGCTCCACTGAATAACCAATGCATGAGTGACAGAAAGAAAACACAACAGCCTTTGGGTAAAATGATACCACCATGATCCATGAGCCAGCGATGAATTCCACAAGAGAAAAGAAACCATTTGGAAGAAATGAAAATGAAATAAAAAAAATCAAAATACCTAGAATACAGCAAAACAGTATGGAAAGGGTTATTGAACTTACAATTTGCACAATGGCTTCCTTATATTAAAGACAACATATGGTATTTGTCCTTTTGGGATTGACTTATTTCACTGAGCATAATGCAGACCCTCATCATTTCAGTGAGCAGTTTTATAACTCAAACTTGCGGGGTCTCCCCCACAGATTCCTTTGGTACCTTGTTGCCGGAGGGGATGAGCCTGCTGCCCGCCACCCCAACCTCCCGGCCTGTGACAGACACAGACAGACAGACAGGGGTTCTGTCTAAGCAGTTCCGATTTGTTGGGGAAATCCAATTTCTTATATAGGATAAGGGATAGCCTCAGGCCAGGAATTTTGGAAATTCCAGGAGGGGAGAAACTAGGAGTCAATTGCTAGGAGAACAACTGCAGAAGCCACCTCCCATAGGCCAGGGGTAAGTGAACAAAATGGCCCTGGTCAATCAGTATTTCCTTGGAGCTACGTGACTCCTGCCCTGGTTGATGTCCAGGGCTCTATCCTTGGCTGCCATCTTGCCCGCCAATGACCTGAATTGATAATCACCATCTTATTGACTTAGTGACCTCTTTGCCCCGGCCCCACAATAACTATTAGAAAAATATTTTTTTTATTTTGCTGCTATTTAGACTACTGTCCCCAACTGCAGATTCTTTTTAGAGTGTAGCAGAAGAAAATACTACTTTAATCATGATTATTAAAACAAAGTATCATTTTTTACAAATAGTGGTTCTTTACAATCACTTACGAAAGATACAACTTTTCAATTTCATTCTTAAATGTGTTGTAGTCGATCTGGTCAAGACAATAAATACAGGGGTCCAGCATGATGGCGCAGTGGTTAAAGTCCTCATCTTGCACACCTGGGATCCCATATGGGCACCGGTTCTAATCCCCGCAGCCCCGCTTCCCATCCAGCTCCCTGCTTGTGGCCCAGGAAAGCAGTTGAGGACAGCCCAAAGCTTTGGGACCCTGCACCCACGTTGGAGACCCGGAAGAAACTCCTGGCTTTGGATCGGCATAGCATCGGCCATTGTGCTCACTTGGGGAGTGAATCATCGGACGAAAGATCTTCCTCTCTGTCTCTCCTCTCTGTATATCCGCCTTTCCAATAATAATAAAAATAAATCTTTAAAAAAAAAGACAATAGATACAAACAACAGAACTTATTTGCCTAACATCAGTACAAACAGAACCTAGAGGAAAGGATCCCACCAGTTCTCCCCAGAATTTTAACATTATTTTCGCATTTTGACACACAGATTGTCCACAATTTCTGCCTTGAAACTATGATGGGATGGATTTCCACCCCCAACACTTGTGTTCAAATTCTAACCCCAAGACATCAGAGTCTGTATTTAGAGACTGGCCCTTAAAAAGAAGTATATAGTGAAACAAACTCATATGTCTGGTGTTCTTATAGGAAAGATTAGGACACAGACACAGAAGACCATGAGAAGATGCAATGAGAAGCTATCCAGCTAGAAGCCAAATGGCACAAGAAACTGATCTGCTGACAGCTTGATCTCAGAAATCTAACAGATTTTCTATTGCTTATACCACCCATTCTGTAGTATTGCAGTCCCAAAACAGTGAGAATATTTCTTCACTACAAGTAAATAAAAACTTTAAAATATTATAAAATTTAACAAATACAATTCCAGGCCATTTCATGTTCTCTAAATGGTGTAACACATGTATCAATTACAGTGAATTACGTGATGACCTGTGCAAGATTGAGATAAAAACCTTGCACAGACTTAAGTCAAAAAAATCTATTTGTGTAACTTGTTGAGAACATTAGAAATGGCTACATAGCAATTATAAGCAATTATAAGTCAAAAAGCTAAAACCCTCACTCCAGTACAGTACTTCTTGAACTCTTCAGCAGAGAGGATTTTCTTGAAAGCTGGTTGTTCACATTTGCAGAACTCATGTCGTCTTGCATCCTCATAGGCCGGTAGAGAACTGCTGTGTCTTTGCAGCTCAGTACTTTTACAGGGAACAGCTTAGTGATCTAAGAGGTGGTACATTGAAAGTAGTGAGAATTCAGGAAAAGCCACTGTTCCTGCTAGGAAAGGAGGTGAACTGAGTAGGATTGGTTCATGGACCCACTGGTATGTGCAAAATCTGGCATTGGGAGACATTCTGATGGAGGAACCTGGGAAACTCCTGGAGGACACAGACCCAGCAGGTAAGTGCAAGAAACATGATAAGCAACATCCCAGAACAGGCCATGGAAAGTTACCCACTGGCATACATTTGGCATGGGTCAGGGCAGACCAAGCTGAATCAGTTCAAGTCATCCACTGGCAAATCCAAGCACTAGA